AAATAAATAAGCAAACACGTTTGGTGTTCGCCAAAAGGCATGTGGGAGACTCCCCAAACATATCGAAAAAGGTGCTCATGTCAGATGAGACTAAAATTGAGCTTTTTGGCCATCAAAGAAAACACAATGTCTGGCGCAAACCCAACACCTCTCATCACCCCGAGAACAACATCCCCACAGTGAAGCATGGTGGTGGCAGCATCATGTTGTGGGGATGTTTTTCATCGGCAGGGACTGGGAATCTGGTCAGAGTTGAAGGGAAGATGGATGGCGCTAAATACAGGAATATTCTTGAGGAAGACCTGTTTCAGTCTTCCAGAGATTTGAGACTGGGACGGAGGTTCACCTTCCAGCAGGACAATGACCCTAAGCATACTGCTAAAGCAATACTCAAGTGGTTTAAGGGGAAACATTTAAATGTCTTGGAATGGCCTAGTCAAAGCCCAGACCTCAATCCAATTGAGAATCTGTGGTATGACTTAGATTGCTGTACACCAGCGGAACCCATCCAACTTGAAGGAGCAGGAGCAGTTTTGCCTTGAAGAATGGGCAAAAATCCCAGTGGCTAGATGTGCCAAGCTTATAGAGACATACCCCAAGAGACTTGCAGCTGTAATTGCTGCAAAAGGTGGCTCTACAAAGTATTGACTTTGAGGGGGTGAATAGTTATGCACGCTCAAGTTTTCTGTCTTTCTGTCTTATTTCTTGTTTGTTTCTCAAGAAAAAATATTTTGCATCTTCAAAGTGATGGGCATGTTGTATAAATCAAATGATACAACCCCCCAAAAAATCCATTTTAATTCCAGGTTGTAAGGCAACTAAATAGGAAAAATGCCAAGGGGGGTGAATACTTTCGCAAGCCACTGTGTGTGTGTGTGTGTGTGTGTATGTAATATATATATATATATATATATATATATATATATATATACACTACTTTTCGCGGCTATGGCTTGCGTAATATTAGGCTTCATTAGTTGAGTGACAATGTAATTTTCTAGTTTATTTTTATCAAATGCGCTGTTGAAAATTGTTTTACTGGAATAAAATTAGCCTAAGCTACCGCAGGCGATAGGTAAGCTACATGCTCATCGGGGCTTACATTAGATTTTATTTTGATTGTTCAGGTTCACTATCAGCAAAAGTTTTGGTAGTTCGGAAAGTTTTCAGACCCTTCCCATTTTTCAGATTTTGTTAGGTTACAGTCTTATTCTAAAATGGATTAAATATTTTCCTCATCAATCTACACACAATACCCCATAATAACAAAGCGAAAACATGTTTTTAGGAATTTTTGCAGTTGTAAAGAAAATGAACATAAATACCTTATTTACATAAGTACTCAGTCCCTTTGCTATGAGACTCGAAATTGAGCTCAGGTGTATCCTGTTTCCATTGATCATCCTTGAGGTGTTTCTACAACTTGGAGTCCAACTATGGTAAATTCAATTGATTGGACATGATTTGGAAAGGCCCACACCTGTCTATATAAGGTCCCACAGTTGACAGTGCATGTCAGAGCAAAAACCAAGAGGTTGAAGGAATTGTCCGTAGAGCTCTGCGACAGGATTGTGTCGAGGCACAGATCTGTCGAAGGGTACCAAAAAATGACTACAGCAATGAAGGTCCCCAAGAACACAGTGGCCTCCATTCTTAAATGGAAGAAGTTTGGAACCACCAAGACTCTTCCTAGAGCTGGCCGCCCAGCCAAACTGAGCAATCGGGGGAGAAGGGCCTTGGTCAGGGAGGTGACCAAGAACCCGATGGTCACTCTGACAGAGCTCCAGAGTTCCTCTGTGGAGATGGGAGAACCTTCCAGAAGTACAACCATCTCTGCAGCACTCCACCAATCAGACCTTTTTTATGGTAGTGGCCAGACAGAAGCCACTCCTCAGTAAAAGGCACATGACCGCCCGCTTTTGAGTTTTCCAAAAGGCACCTAAAGGACTCTCAGAACATGAGAAACAAGATTCTCTGGCTGATGAAACCTAGATTGAACTCTTTAGCCTAAATGCCAAGCGTCACGTCTGGAGGAAACCTGGCACCATCCATACGGTGAAGCGTGGTGGCAGCATCATGCTGTGTGTTTCAGCGGCAGGGAGACTAGTCAGGATTGAGGGAAAGCTGAACGGAGCAAAATACAACGAGATCCTTGATGAAAACCTGCTCAGGACCTCAGACTGGGGGCGAAGGTTCACCTTCCAACAGAACAACGACCCTAAGCACACAGCCAAGACAACGCAGGAGTGGCTTCAGGACAAGTCTCTGAATGTCCTTGAGTGGCACAGCCAGAGCCCGCACTTGAACCCGATCGAACATCTCTGGAAAGACCGAAAATAGCTTTGCAGCGACGCTCCCCATCCAACCTGACAGAGCTTGAGAGGATCTGCAGAGAAGAATGGGAGAAACTCCCCAAATACAGGTGTGCCAAGCTTGTAACGTCATACCCAAGAAGACTCGATGCTGTAATCGCTGCCAAAAGTGCTTCAATAAATAATTTCTTCTTAACTGACTTGCCTAGTTAAATAAAGGTAAAAAATAAAATAAAGTACTGAGTAAAGAGTCTGAATACTTATGTAAATTTAATATTTCCATTTTTTATTTTGAATTAATTAGCCAAAATGTCAAACTGTTTTTGCTTTGTTATTATGGTGTATTGTGTGTAGATTGATGAGGGGGGGGAAACAATTGAATCCATTTTAGAATAAGGCTGGAATGTAATTTTTTTTTTTGAAAAGTCAAGGGGTCTGAATACTTTACAAATTGACTTTATATCCTCCTTTTTAGCTATACAGGGTAAAGTTGACAATTTCATAATGAGGAGGTTGCTACCCGCCAACACTGTTGGCCAATGCAGGAGAAGAAGAAATGCTGTCAACGGTCTAAACCAATTGATTTATTATTGGCTATGTCATATACATTTTTTAAAAGATAAGTATTGATACATTACTATCTCTAACACTTAATGTGCAAAAATTGATTTCAGATGATAGTGGGATGGTAGATGCCCAGTTTCCCTTATGGCTCAGCTTAGGTGCCTTCAGAAAGTATTCACACCCCTTGACTTATTACACATTTTGTTGTTACAGCCTGAAAAAATTGATTAAATTGAGATTTTGTGTCACTGGCCTACACACAATACCCTATAATGTAAAAGTGGAATTATGTTTTTAGAAATATTTACATGTTAATTAAAAGCTGAAATGTCTCCAGTCAAGTATTCAACCCCTTTGTTATGGCAAGCCTAAATAAGTTCAGGAGTAAAGATTTGCTTAACAAGTCACATAAGTTGCATGGACTCACTCTGTGTGCAATAATAGTGTTTTAACATGATTTTTGAATGACTACCTCATCTCTGCACCCCACTCATACAATTATCTGTAAGGTCGAGCAGTGAATTTCAAACACATATTCAACCACAAAGACCAGGGAGGTTTTCCAATGCCTCGCAAAGAAGGGCACCTATTGGTAAATGGGTAAAAATAAAAGCTGACATTGAATATCGCTTTGAGCATGGTGCAGTTATTAATTACACTTTGGATGGTGTAAAAATACACCCAGTCACTACAAAGATACAGGCGTCCTTCCTAACTCAGTTGCCTGAGAGGAAGGAAATCGCTCAGGGATTTCACCATGAGGCCAATGGTGACTTTAAAACAGAGTTTAATGGCTGTGATAAACTGTGGATGGATAGTTACTCCACAATATTAACCTAAATGACAGTGAAAGAAGGAATCCTGTACAGAATAAAAGTATTCCAAAACATGCATCCTGTTTGTAATAAGGCACTAAAGTAAAACTGCAAAGATTGTGGCAAATAAATTAACTTTATGTCCTGAATATGTTTGGGGCAAATCCAACACATCACTGAGTACCATTCTTCATATTTTCAAGCATGGTGGTGGCTGCATCATGTTATGGGTATGTTTGTCATCGGCAAGGACTAGGACGTTTTTTAGGATAAAAAGAAACGGAATAGAGCTAAGCACAGGCAAAGTCCTAGAGGAAAACCTGGTTGTCTGCTTTCCAACAGACACTGGGAGATGAATTCACCGTTCAGCAGGACATTAACCTAAAACACGAGGCCAAATATATGCTGGAGTTGCTTACCAAGACGACATAAATGTTCTTGAGGGGCCTAGTTAGTTTTGACATAAATCGGCTTGAAAATCTATGGCAAGACATGAAAATGGCTATCTAGCAATAATCAACAACCAGCTTGACAGAGCTTGAATAATTTAAAGAAGAAGAATGTGCAAATATTGTGCTATCCAGGTGTGCAAAGCTCTTAGAGGTGATTCTAACATGTATTGACTCGGGTGTGAATACTTATGTAAATTAGATATTTCTGTGTTTAATTTTCAATAGACTTCGAAATATGTCTAAACCTGTTTTCACTGTCATTATGGGGTATTGTGTGTAGATAAGTGAGGAGGGAAAAAAGTCAATCAAATGTTTTATTCAGGCTGTAACACAGCAAAATGTGGAGTAAGTAAATGGGTATGAATACTTTCCGAAGGGACTGTACACCTTAGACATATACATAATTTACACACACACTCGTCTGCTCGGACAGATCCAGCTCAGAGAGGCCCAGCTCATGAGCTCCATCAGCAGCAGATTAAAATGTTGAATTTAAAATGAACGCGTTTATGCAGCAGGTTTTGGTGCATCTAATCATATTGCATTGATTCGATCCTTTAGTCAAACAGAATCGCATCAAATCGTTTCAAACTAAAACGTATCGTTCCTGTATTGTCGGAGCCCATGTATCGAATTGTCTTGAAAGGGAAAGATGCACATCCCTGTTATTTCCCCTTTTAATACTCCCCACCAGCCCCAGTAAATGATTCCTGAATAACCCTGGTGTTCAGCTTTCCACTTCTGTCCACAGATGAGCCTTAATCCAATAAGCCACTGGGGATACAGTAGGCTGTGTCACTGGTGTGTTCATTACCGGTTTGCATTTTCTGACACAATGTCCTCTACAGTGAAATGAAATGGGCTGCACATTGGCAGCCAGGTTTATGATGGTATGACCTCATACTTAATGGCTTTCACAGCTACACAGTTGAGTGTCTAGTTTGCAGCACATTTTGCTAAGCAATATTGACCTCCCCTGTTGCTGTACATGATTCAGAACTAACTTACAGGATGAAAACAGTCCTACATGTAATTACATGCTACATTACAACTACAGTACAGGAAGTGCATCAAGAATGTTAGAGCCAACATATTTGTGCTTTGAAGTGTTTTGTAATTTGAATGGTTTGAGTTTGAATCCAGGGAGATTGATGTTTATTTTAATAAATTAAACTTATCTGTCCCCTTTTTCTCATTTACAGAGTCATTAGATGAGCTCACCACAATGGTGGTCAAGCTGTTTGGAGAGGTGGAAAACAAGAATGTACCTATCCCAGAGTTCCCTGAGCACCCCTTCCAGGAGGAGCACCTCAGGGTGAGCTCCTTAGTTTGCAGACCCACACACACACACCAGAGTTTCTGTTAGCTAGTAATTGGTGGCTTTTGGCTATAAAATAAATGCAAAGCCGGTAAATAAAACTGCCATCCAAAATGATCGTTTTTTATTAATTAATGGAAATACCAATCGATATGTATACATTTGACCGTCATGCTTATCGTCTATAGGTTAATTTGTTTAATTTAGTGGAATTCAATTGGCCTGGGTTTTTTCGTTAGTCATGTATTTTATTTTTTCAACAACTGTCACACATGCACAGCACCGATTTTGAATGAGATTTCTCCAATTTCTCAGTTGGTTGCTACTGCAGTAAAACATGATTTGATAAGCCCATTCATTGCGCAACAATTCTAAATGCAATCACGTGTTAACAGTTTTGGTGCATGATTAAAAAGAGCTATTTTTATTTCTCAAATGGTAATTGAAGCGCGTCACCCACCACTTTAGGAGCTTTTGATTCGAAGCAATCGAACAGCTATTTTTTTTATTTAAAGGAGCTAATGATCATTTCTTCTTCTGTGGCTAATTCATGCTTTCTGGTGAAGGATTTTGAATGATTTTATTTATGTTTAGACTGGAGTAATTATATAGTTTTGACAAATGTAGTTCCATTTACATCCCTACTGGACCCACTGTTATGGTTTTCACATCAACTTTCTTTCGTTGTCCAGAAGCCAAAGGCACAATCCTAGTCATATTAGCAACTCATCCTAGTTGTTGGATCTTTTAGATTCCCCCTCTTTCTGAGTTTCTAACAGAGATTTTCATCTGTCATATATTGAACCGCTATCAGGTGCGCTGTTTAGAATGGTGTTTTCCCAGGTGCACTGTTTAGAATGGTGTTTTCCTGCAAATTGCATTTTGGCAAATGTTTGAAAATTAGGTTTTATTGGCTGCTTCATTACATGAGTGGCATGTTCTGTTGAGATGCATTACCATAATCTAAATGTGATTTCTGTCATTCTGAGCACCGTGGCCGGTAAATCTTCCCGGTCACATTGTCCGGCACCACATTTTCCTAACGGAAACTCTGACACACACACACACACACAAATATACAGTGCATTCGGAAAGTATTCAGACCCCTTGACTTTTTACAGCCTTATTCTAAAATTGATTGAATTGTTTTTTTCCCTCATCAATCTATACACAATACCCCATAATGACAAAGCGAAAACAGGTTTGTAGAAATGTTTGCAAATGTATTAAAAATAAAAGGCATACCTTATTTACATAAGTATTCAGACCCTTTGCTATGAGACTCAAAATTGAGCTCAGGTGCATCCTGTTTCCATTGATCATCCTTGAGATGTTTCTACAACTTGATTGGAGTTCACCTGTGGTAAATTCAATTGATTGGACATGATTTGGAAAGGCCCACACCTGTCTATATAAGGTCCCACAGTTGACAGTGCATGTCAGAGCAAAAACCAAGCCATAAGGTCGGAGGAATGGTCCGTAGAGCTCCGAGATTGTTTCGAGGCACAGATCTGGGGAAGGGTACCAAAACAATTCTGCTGCATTGAAGGTCCCCAAGAACAGTGGCTTCCATTTTGTTTAATGGAAGACGTTTGGAACCACCAATAATCTTGCTAGAGCTGGCCACCTGGCCAAACTGAGCAATCGGGGGAGAAGGGATTTGGTCAGGATGGTGACCAAGAACCTGATGGTCACTCTGACAGAGCTCCAGAGTTCCTCTGTGGAGATGGGAGAACCTTCCAGAAGGACAAACATCTCTGCAGCACTCCACCAATCAGGCCTTTATGGTAGTGGCCAGACGGAAGTCACTCCTCAGTAAAAGGCACATGACAGCCCGCTTGGAGTTTGCCAAAAGGTACCTAAAGGACTCTCGGACCATGAGAAACAAGATTCTCTGGTCTGATGAAACCTAGATTGAACTCTTTGGCCTGAATGCCAAGCGTCACATCTGGAGGAAACCTGGCACCATCCCTACAGTGAAGCATTGTGGTGGCAGCGTCATACTGTGGGGATGTTTTTCAGCGGCAGGGACTGGGAGACTAGTCAGGATCGAGGGAAAGCTGAATAGAGCAAAGTACACAGAGATTCTTGATGAAAACCTGCTCCACAGCTCTCAGGACCTCAGACTGGGGCAAAGGTTCACCTTCCAACAGGAAAACAACCCTAAGCACACAGCCAATACAATGCAGGAGTGGGTTCAGGACAAGTCTGAATGTCCATGAGTGGCCCAGCCAGAGCCCGGACTTGAACCCGATTGAACGTATCTGGGGAGACATGAAAATAGCTGTGCGTCGACGCTCCCCATCCAACCTGACAGAGCTTGAGAGGATCTGCAGAGAAGAATGGGAGAAACTCCCCAAATACAGGTGTACCAAGCTTGTAGCGTCATACCCAAGAAGACTCGAGGCTGTAATTGCTGCCAAAGGTGCTTCAACAAAGTACTGGGTAAAGGGTCTGAATATTTATGTAAATGTGATATTTCTGTTATAAAACGTTTTTTTTGTTGCTAACTATTCTAAACTTTTTTGCCCTGTCATTATGGGGTATTGTGTGTAGATTGATGAGCAGAAAAAAAAACAATTTAATCCATTTTAGAATAAGACTAATGTAACAAAGTGGAAAAAGTCAAGGGGTCTGAATAGTTTCCTAATGCACTGTATGGACACACAATTTAATACATACTACCATTGAACAGTTGTGCAACTGAGATCCTTTTCATAATTCTCAATTCAAATATCTCCTTCCTAAATTCCCCCCACAGCAATTCTACAAAGTGGTGCCTATCAAGGACATTAGGAACTTGTATGTGACGTTCCCCATCCCAGACCTGCAGAAGTATTACAAGTCCAACCCAGGCCACTACCTGGGCCACCTGATAGGCCACGAGGGCCCAGGGAGCCTGCTGTCTGAGCTCAAATCCAAAGGTAGGCCAGAGGACTGTGATTTAATCTTAGTTAAGATTTAGGGCTTGATGGAATGGTAGAAATATCCTAAATGCTATTTTTTTCTATTTGTGACAGTAATTAATCAAAAGTTTATGCTGACAATACATGCTGTATATGTGTAGAATTGTTTATATTTGAATTGACAGTGATAGTTATGTCCTTTATTCTTGTGCAGGCTGGGTGAACACACTGGTCGGAGGCCAGAAAGAGGGAGCTAAAGGCTTCATGTTCTTCATCATCAATGTGGACCTGACAGAGGAGGGACTCTGTAAGCATTAGGATCTCAGGGATTTTGTGTTCATGTGTGTGTATGTGCCCACACCCTCAAGTCAGGAAGGTGTTTGTCTGTGTGTGGGGTTTTGTGTTTCAACCCTGTGAGCTGAAGTGTCATTTGTCTCTAGTGCACGTGGATGACATCATCTTCCACATGTTCCAGTATATCCAGAAGCTGCGCACTGAGGGGCCTCAGGAGTGGGTCTTCGAGGAGTGCAAGGTGAATACTGCACTGTGGTACCACTCACTTCTAATCTGTCTGAGCTCAGTCTACTTACTATAGAGTCCATTCTGAAAGTATTCAGACCCCTTGATTTTTTTCAAAATTGTGTTACTTTACAGCCTTATTCTAAAATGGATTAAATTGGTTTTTTCCTCATCAATCTACACACAATACCCCATAATGACAAAGCAAAAACAGGTTTTTAGAATTTTTTGCAAATGTATTAATAATAAAATAATACGCTTTACTCAGTACTGAAGCACCTTTGGCAGCGATTACAGCCTTGAGTGTTCTTGGGTATGACGCTACAAGTTTGGCATACATGTATTTGGGAGTTTTCTCCCATTCTCTGCAGATCCTGTCAAGCTCTGTCAGGTTGGATGGGGTGCGACGCTGTACAGCTATTTTCAGGTCTCTCCAGAGATGTTCAATCGGGTCAAGTCCGGTTCTGGCTGGGCCACTCAAGCACATTCAAAGACTTGTCCCGAAGCCACTCCTGCATTGTCTTGGCTGTGTGCTTAGGGTCGTTGTCCTATTGGAAGGTGAGCCTTCGCCCCAGTCTGAGGTCCTGAGCGCTCTGGAGCAGGTTTTCGTCAAGGATCTCTCTGTACTTTGCTCCATTCATCTTTCCCTCGATCCTGACTAGTCTCCCAGTCCCTGCTGCTGAAAAACATCCCCACAGTATGATGCTGCCACCACAATGCTTCACTGTAGGGATGGTGCCAGGTTTCCTCTAGACGTGACGCTTGGCATTCAGGCCAAAGAGTTCAATCTAGGTTTCATCAGACCAGAGAATCTTGGTTCTCATGGTCAGAGTCCTTTAGGTACCTTTTGGCAAACTCCAAGCGGGCTGTCATGTGCCTTTTACTGAGGGGTGGCTTACGTTTGGCCACTCTACCATAAAGGCCTGATTGGTGGAGTGCTGCTGAGATGGTTTTCCTCCTGGAAGTTTCTCCCATCTCCACAGAGGAGCTCTGTCAGTGACCATCGGGTTCTTGGTCACCTCCCTGACCAAGGCCCTTCTCCCCCGATTTTTCAGTTTGGCCGGGCGGCCAACTCTTGGAAGAGTCTTGGTGGTTCCAAACTTCTTCCATTTAATAATTATGGAGGCAACTGTGTTCTTGGGGACCTTCAGTGCGGCAGACATTTTTTGGTACCCTTCCCCAGATCTGTGCCTCGACACAATCCTGTCTCTGACAATTCCTTTGACCTCATGGCTTGGTTTTTGCTCTGACATGCACTGTGAACTGTTGGACCTTATATAGACAGGTGTGTGCCTTTCCAAATCATGTCCAATCAATTGAATTTACCACAGGTGGACTCCAATCAAGTTGTAAAAACATCTCAAGGATGATCAATGGAAACAGAATGCACCTGAGCTCAATTTCGAGTCTCATAGCAAAGGGTCTGAATACTTATGTAAATAAGGTATTTTATTTATTTATACATTTGCAAAAATGTCTAAACCTGTTTTTGCTTTGTCATTATGGGGGTATTGTGTGTAGATTGAGGATTTGTAAAAAAAAAAAAAAAAAAAACGAAATTCCATTTTAGAATAAGGCTGTGGAAAAAATCAAGGGGTCTGAATACTTTCCGAATGCACTGTAACTGTCTTAGAAGCCAGTGTATGTGTTGTCAGAAAACAATCAGTCATTAACATTTTATGTATAGCCCTTTTTACAAACAAAATAGTTAGGACCAAGACTGAGAAACCTACTCAAATAGGCTTTTTGCTGGCCTCATAGTTAAACTTCTGTTGTATGTAACAGTACACATGGATCATGTGAATTGTCTTGTTGCTCAATTCTCTGTTGTATGTAATAATACTGTATTTTCATGTGATTGACGTGACTTGTCTCTTCTCCTCCGCAGGACTTAAACACTGTGGCCTTCAGGTTCAAGGACAAGGAGCGGCCCCGTGGCTACACCTCCAAAGTGGCTGGATTACTGCACGTAGGTGGTGTTCTCTCCATTTCTTAAAATCGTCTCCACGGTGATGCACTGCAGTTCCGTGGCTCCGATTTGATGATGACGTTGTCATCAGAGTGCCTTGTCTGCCAGTCTCCTATTTTATGGGAAAAAAGATGTACAGATTCAGCCCCAGTCTAAATTAAACTGACATTCCTGCTAGTGTTAAACTATTACTATGGTTGTAAGGCAGTCGGACCGGGGTAGGATATCCACTGTATTTCTGTCTGTGGTGTTCATTATTGTGTGCATCTTTTTTTTAAATTATGCAGAACCCCAGTTCTGTATTCCTCTACTCCAGTAAAGTGTTCCCCTGCATGTGTTAGTCAAAGGCCTCCCCCATTGTTGGCACCTAAACCTGTTTTTTTGTCCTCTGTTTTGCAGTACTACCCTCTGGAGGAGATCCTAGCAGCAGAGTACCTGCTGGAAGACTTCAGGCCAGACCTGATAGAGATGGTCCTGGACAAGCTGAGGCCGGAATACGTCAGGTCAGTTCCAGCTCTTCACCGGGTCACTAACCCTGTTTGCTCTGCTCTCCTATATCAGTTTCACAATATATTGCCCAACTGGATGAACCATACTGCTGGCTTGGATATACAGTGGATATAAAAAGTCTACACACCCCTGTTAAAATGCCAGGTTTCTGTGATGTAAAAGAATGAGACGAAGATAAATCATGTCAGAACTTTTTCCACTGTTAATGTGACCTATAATGTGAACAATTCAATTGAAAAACTAACTGAAATCTTCGAGGGGGAAAAATGAAAAATAAAAACCTTACAATAACCTGGTTGCATAAGTGTGCACACCCTCTAATAACTGGGGATGTGGCTGTGTTCAGAATTAACCAATCACATTCAAACTCATGTTAAATAGAAGTCATTACACACCTGCCATCATTTAAAGTGACTCTGATTAATCACAAATAAAGTTCAGCTGTTCTAGTAGGTTTTTCCTGACATTTTCTTAGTTGCATCTCAGAGCAAAAGCCATGGTCCGCAGAGAGCTTCCAAGGCATCAGAGGGATCTCATTGTTGAAAGATTTCAGTCAGGAGAAGGGTACAAAATAATTTCCAACGCATTACATATACCATGGAACACAGTGAAGACAGTCATCATCAAGTGGAGAAAATATGGCACAACAGAGACATTACCAAGAACTGGACGTCCCTCCAAAATGTATGAAAAGACGAGAAAACTGGTCAGGGAGGCTTCCAAGAGGCCTACAGCAAAATTAAAGGAGCTGCAGGAATTTCTGGCAAGTACTGGCTGTGTGCTACATGTGACAACAATCTCCCGTATTCTTCATATGAATGGGCTATGGGTTAGGGTGGCAAGACGGAAGCCTTTTCTTACAAAATAAACATCCAAGCCCGGCTGAAGTTTGCAAAAACAAACATCAAGTCCCCCAAAAGCACGTGGGAAAATGTGTTATGGTCTGATGAAACCAAGGTTGAACTTTTTGGCCATAATTCCAAAAGGTATGTTTGGGGCAAAAACAACACTGCACATCACCCAAAGAACACCATACCACCAGTGAAGCATGGTGGTGGCAGCATCATGTTTTGGGGCTGTTTTTCTTCAGCTGGAACCGGGGCCTTAGTCAGGGTGGAGGGAATTATGAACAGTTCCAAATACCAGGCAATTTTGGCACAAAACCTTCAGGCGTCCGTTAGAAAGCTGAAGATGAAGAGGAAGTTCACCTTTCAGCACGACAACGACCCAAAGCACCCATCCAAATCCACAAAAGCATGGCTTCACCAGAAGAAGATTAACGTTTTGGAATGGCCCAGCCGGAGCCCAGACCTGAATCCAATTGAACATCTCTGGGGTGATCTGAAGTGGGCTGTGCACAGGAGATGTCCTCGCAATCTGACAGATTTGGAGCACTTTTGCAAAGAAGAGTGGGAAAATATTGCCACGTCAAGATGTGCCATGCTAATAGACTTCTACCCAAAAAGTGCTGTAATAAAATCAAAAGGTGCTTCAACAAAGTATTAGTTTAAGGGTGTGAATACTTATGCAACCAGGTTATTGTGAGTTTTTTTATTTTTTATTTTCCCCCCTCCAAAGATTTCAGTTTGTTTTTCAATTGAATTGTTCATGTTATAGGTCACATTAAAGGTGGAAAAAGTTCTGACATGATTTATCTTTGTCTCATTCTTTTACATCACAAAAATCTGGCATTTTAACAGGGGTGTGTAGACTTTTTATTTCCACTGTATATATATATTTTAATTCTTTCCAGCATAGTTTCAGCAACTGTGGTGGATGCAAAATTAGACCCGCGCAGTACAGATTGGCTCAGCTAGGTCAGTTTGGCTCAGTAGTGTGACAAGGGCACCTGAGAAGATCATTTTGATAAACGTGGTTGTAATTTCCTTGAAAAAGTGTGCATCCAGCAACTATATATACCCAGACACATTACTGATGTCTCCTATGTTGCCCTTCTTTTAGAGGACTCTTTCTCCTTTTGAGATACGCTTTTTTTTTGGACCTAACTTTGAAAATGCCAGTATCTTGCTGTGATGTTTGAAATAAGTACATGGGTAACTCTGTGTTTGAGCAGATGTTGCAGTCCATGGTTACAAACATTCAGATAATATGACACTGTTCAGCTGATGCTGAACATCAACTGAGTCAACTTGAATAACAAACAACCAAGGTCATACATGTTATACAATCATTAGGCTAGTAGTGGAACCATTCAGTCATGTCATTAACCATACAATCATGTAGGGTAAATCTAAATGTGATCTTACATTTCCCATTACACACTGTTTACAGTCATTCTCATGGCAGATTTACCTCAACATTCACCTAAACTTCCCACTGTTGAATTAACTGCCAGAAAACTTTCAGAAACGGTTCAAACTAAAACACTGGGGGAGCTCAATAACACATTCTGCAGTATTACTACCACTACAGTCACTGCTTTTCCACTTCAGTCACTACTCATACTACAGTCCCTACTTCTACCACAGTCACTACTACGATTCATTCTACTGATACCACTAGAATCAATGCTACCATTGCTACAGTCACTACTACTACTACTGCATTAAAACTACTACAACTTCTTTCACTACCATTTCAAATGCTTTTAGACAGCTGAAGCAAGCACACATTTTCTTCGGGAAATGTAACTTTTCTAGTTATCATAATATTGGCTGGCTATCTGCACCACTTATCTGTTTTAATCACATTGACCCTACAAACTGTAATTGACTGGAGCCTCCCGAACCTCCTATCCCCAGTGTTATTATACAGTTGATTGATTGGTGCAGCAGGGTTAAGATAACTTTTTTTGTTCTAAATCCAGCGCATCTATCGGAAGGCCATATTGCCAAGGTGTAGGTCTTCTAAATATATCCCATTGATCACAAGCTGACACAATGCGTTGATGAATCTCCACTGCCTCTGGCATCCTACATATAGAAGACTGGTATAGAAAAGGCTTTGGGAGGCACTCGAGCTGATGTCGTAAGGGCAGCTGGAAATCTAGCCGCAGTTGCTCAGGGAAAATGGAGTGTGTCTAACTCCTAACCGGTCTGACAAGGGTTTATAAATGCTGATAATAATAAAACCTGTTTCTGTTTGTCCTCCACCTGCAGAGTCGCAGTCGTCTCAAAGTCGTTCGAAGGGCAGACGGACAAGACGGAGGAATGGTATGGGACGCACTACAAACAGGAGCCCATATCTGAAGACATCCTCAAGGTGAGACTGACACACGTTCCAACTCGACAGCTTTTCCATTTACTCATCACCCTGTGGGTGACGCCAAGTGCCTTTCCTTGATTCCACACGTCCTCTCCTCATCCTCAAACTGCAATGTAGGAGAAGATCAGATGTTCCTCCCCTCTGACCTTCTCCTTCAGTGCGTTTTCAGTAGAAGGAAAGGAAACGGGGACACAATTAAATAGGACAGATTTGAGATTCACCCTGACTGGGCGACTTTGTAAATCATCAACTGGCAATGCTTGAAGGAATCTTCAATCCATCTACTTGCTGTCACACATTCCAACATAATCTAAGGTTTATCATGCCATGAGTAAGAAAATAAATGGCTTATGGGTAAGGTGCTGTTGATCCACAGTCAACACCCCAGTGGTGAATGATGTTTAAAGCCACAGATGTTTGCTCAAGTTCCAATAGTTTGCTGACTTTTTTCCTATTCAGTGTAGAAGCAGGGTTAGGGTGGAAATGTGAGATGTTTCATCAATCGGGAAGTTTTGGAAAAGTCAATTTGCAGGCAGACTGACACTAGCACTGTGAATGTTCTCAATTCACCTTTCTGAAACAATGCCCAGGGCCACAAACTCCCCTGAGCTTATGAGGTTCCAAAAGCAGAAAAAGCTGTTATGGAAGTCTTTAATACTCCCAAAGCCAACGCTGTACATTTCATGAGCTTTTACAGTGGTGTCTTTTTCTCCTAAAGGTTTCTACACAACTATCTAACTACAGCCAACCCAATAGTCTAAGAATTTGTTTTTTTAAAGAATCTGGACATTTTTTTAAGGAATCCGCCTGGTGTGTTTTAGAATTGAGCGGTATCCAGATTTTCATACCTTTTTAAACCGTCCTTGTGCCATATACGGCATTAACGGCATAGCTCACAAGGTGGCGCTATTTGTTTTTTAAACACAAAAAAGTAATGTATATTACCAGAATGCTAACAAATGCTAGCAAAGTACTAGTATACTAGTATTCCCATAGCAGATGCTAGCTAAATGCTAATTAACAAAAATATAAATGCAACAAGTAAAGTGTTGGTCCCATGTTTCATGAGCTGAAATAAAATATCCCAGAAATGTTCCATACGCACAAAAAGCTTATTTCTCTCGATTTTGTGCACAAATTTCTTTACATCCCTGTTAGTGAGCATTTCTCCTTTGCCAAGATAATCCATCCACCTGACTGGTGTGGCATATCAAGAAGCTGATTAAACAGCATGATCATTATACCTAATATGAACTGTAACTCAGTAAAATTGTTGGAATTGTTGCATGTTTTGTTTTTATTTTTTTGTTCAGTAGAATTAGAAAGACAGACAATCCATTTTTGCAAATATATTAAAAATCAGTATTCAGGCCCTGCTATGACACTCAAAATTGAGCTCAGGTGCATCCTATTGCCTTTGATCATCCTTGATGTTTCTACAACTTGATTGGATTCCACCTGTGGTAAATTCAATTGATTGGACATGATTTGGAAAGGCACACACACCTGTCTATATAAGATCCCACAGTTGACAGTGCATGTCAGAGCAAAAACCAAGCCATGAGGTCGAAGGAATTGTCCGTAGAGCGCCGAGACTCTAAAAATAAAAAGTGGTTGTCCCACTGGCTATCATAAGGTGAATGCACCAATTTGTAAGTCGCTCTGGATAAGAGCGTCTGCTAAATGACGTAAATGTAAATGTCTTAGTATGCCTCTATTTCGGGGGGCGGGGGGGAACTTCCTTGACAGAATAATTATTCTCCTTTGACTGCATTTTCTGCAGTTCTTACTTTTGCCACTAGAGTGCAGTCAGACAATTTTCTGTGGGTGTGTGCTCCCGAAGTTGACTGTTTTTTTTTCTTGTTAGCTAGCAGTTTTCAACTGTTAGCAGCCAATGGCTAGCAGTTTCGTACTGATGATAAACAGATGATTGCAATTTGAGTCATTACTAAAAGGATGATTGCAATTTGAGTCATTACTGAATTATTTGATGTAACAAATCAAACCTCAAATAATTCATGTTAACCTCGTAAACAATTCATTTAGACCCAGCGTTTATTTGAAACTGGTGTTTATTTGCTGAAATGTGTACCGTTGCCCGGCTATTAAAAGGAACAGGCGGCTATTTGAGACTGCGTTTAATTGAAGTTTTATGGCATTTCAAAATACCTGCGTATACACGGTATACTGTCGAAGCCTCGTGTGTAATCCCGTTGGTCGCCACTGGACATAGTTGCTCATAGTTGGTCCTGTGTCATGTAGAATCTGCCATGGACAGTTGGTCAGGGGAAAAACTACCCATTGCATTATCTATAGTTTGTTGGCTAAAGTTGGATAGGTGTGTAGAAGCCTTTAGTCACCTATCAATAAATTCCATCCCTAACCTGTTGACTGAGAAAGGAGGACTAGCTAACTCATCTGTGTGTTTCAGAAATGGGGAAAAGCTGACTTCAATGGCAAGTTCAAGCTGCCCATGAAGAACGAGTTCATTCCTACCAACTTTGATATCTACCCTCTGGAGAAAGACTCTCCCTCCGCCCCAACTCTAATCAAGGTAAGCCTCGCTCTGGATAAGAGTGTCTGCTAAATGACTAAAATGTAAAATGGCGGGGTGTTGCATTATCAAAGGCATACAAATACAAAAAGCTAACAGACCTGAACGCGTAGCTGCATGTTTCAAGTGTCTGAATCTGTTCATAAGCTTTCATATGGTAATGAGGAAATGGTTACAGGATTGAGATATTCAGTATTTAGTAGGCCTACTGTTGTTGTTAAGGTGTTCTGATCGGCGGACGTACGTGGTGGTAATTACTGCTGACCGATTGGAGTCTCTTGTGGAAAAACTCTTTTGAGCTAAGCTTCAGTATTTAATTTTGGGCTGCTGTTCACCCCAATAAAGTACAAAGGCAGTAGTAGTTTGATCTACCTCTCTTCAAAGCAAGTATGACGATATCAGACTGCAGTACCTTTTGCAAGCCCTTTCTTATCAATGGCATCTGCTGCTAATGCTTATCTTACCATGTGTTATTTTTTCTAGGACACTGCTATGAGCAAGGTGTGGTTCAAGCAGGATGACAAGTTTTTCCTACCAAAGGCATGCCTGAACTTTGAGTTCTTCAGGTTGGTAGACAAACCACACAGCCCCTGTTTATGAGATGATGATGTGATATGTAATGTGATTTAATCTTTTGTCTTGTTTTCCTGATTTACAACCTATTGGAGTTATAGTACTCAAATACTGCAATTTGAAATCATATTACGAAGTACCCCATGGAAACCCACTTGTCCTGCTGATCCCTAATTTTGAATGAATGCAACACCGTAACTGTTTGTTTTTCAAGGAGAGCAAATTGGAGCGAGAGTTCTGTGGAGTTGTAGCTACTGTGTCATTCACCACTGCCATTTTCTCTACAGCCCGTTTGCGTATGTGGACCCGATACATTGTAACATGGCCTATTTGTACCTGGAGCTCCTCAAAGACTCCCTCAACGAGTATGCATATGCAGCCGAGCTAGCAGGCTTGAACTATGACCTCCAAAATACCATCTATGGGATGTATGTAAGTATCCTAATTTCCCATCACCCTCACGCCGCCGCGACCCCAAACCCACCCGTTCCTCCCTCAATCTGGGCCTTCGTGTCAGCCCTGGCTGCAACATCCTAATCATTTTCCCTTTCCCACTCCTCCCTCTCTCAAAACCACCTCGTTGGAAACGCTATACTTGAGTTGTCTGTTTCCTGTTCGTGCTGGCACTGTTTGGGTATGAACGTAAATCGTCATTTGGTAAAGTAGTCCCCTGTCAGACAGAGGAACAGTATTTTTGTATCAAAACTCTTATACAAAAGAATGGGAAATGGACACCTCAAGACGCTTCCACACTAGAAGTAGTAGTGGCCTTGGCATTTAGCGACAAAATACGCCGTCCCTCCTTGGTGGACAGAATGGCCGGTCGCGAGGCTGCATATACATACTCTTCTTTATCAGTATCCTCACCCTGCTCTCTGTCCGTTTTTGACAACCTCATCCCACCTCCCCTACCCAACACTCATGTCTTTTCTTTTTGTTTGTCTTTTTTGTTGTTGTTAGTCGCTACCTATACTCAGACCCCCTGCACTGCAACATGACCTACCTGTTTCTCAGGTTATTGAAGGATGATTTAAAAGAGTATACATATGCAGCCCGCCTTGCCGGGCTGGTCTATGGCATAGCCTCAGGGATGAATGCCATCCTCGTAAGTACAGCGTCCGTCTGTCTGCCCCCCTAATGGCTAGGGGGACGAGGGAGGGCGCCAGCTTGAGGCTTTGAATGTGCAGGACTGGCTTTATCTTTCCCCTCTATCTACGTCCACTCTTTCTATGTGTGTTTGTATGTTAGTCTGTCTGTAGGAAGATGGGGAGCTACTAGAGCCTCCCCTTCCTATTAGTGATGGAAAGTTCAACTCTTTTTACTGACTCAGGTCTTTTCAACTCATTCAGTGAAAATAACAAATCTTTCGACTCATTTTATTCAGTAAAACTGCTGGTGAAGGATTAACTAAAAATGCAAAAGAATCATGATTCTACAAGCCACTCGTTCACCATAGGGGGCTTCTTGGAGCTGTCGTTGGTGACAGACTTATAAAAGTGTGCTTCAAACAATGTAGATTTGTTGATTGCTAGGCATACAAATACAATTATTTCTTACCTTTTGAAACAAGGTCTAGTTGTGGCCGCAACCGGACTAGATTGTGAACGACTCTTGGCGGAGTGCAATTGCTTGACTGCCGCGAGGGAGTAACACAATATCGTTCACGAACTGCAGCACCCCTCCAAAGGATTCGTTTTTGAGTTTGTTCGGCAGAGTCAGGCTGTGTATGTTTGGTTCTACAAAGCTGTGTCCATCGATAAAAAAATTATATAATCAATTATTTTGCATTAATTCTTGCACAATGCGATCAATTGACAGTTCTAAATATGTAATTTCCTTCTATGTTGCCTGCAGCATGACCTATTTTCCTGCGCGCACGTATGATAGACAGTTGGTGGTGGTGGTTTGGAGCACGTCTCCAGAGCCGCCAGCAGGTCAAACGACCGACTAAAATGATCCTGTCTTGAGTCAGTAAAAAGTTGTTCAAAAAGAAAGAATCGTATGTGGACTGCACATCACTACTTCCTATGTCCTGTCTATGTACCCACTTGTGGTTTCACTGCAAGGATGGCCAAATCTAGTCCTCAAGGCATGCCGTTTAACTTTATATGAAATTCAATATCAACTTTTCATTTATCAAATACTTCTGGTAACATGGACTAAATTCAACTGATCAGGTCTGGATTAAAATATGAACTCTATCAGCAGACTGCCTGTCTTGAAGGACACATGTTTGGCCCTGTTGATTTCACTGAATCACTCCCAAAACACACCGCAGATAGAACTTCATACATTCTCTCACATTTTTGTTGTATTTATTTTAATGCATCTTTAGCAGCCAGTTTGAAACTCATTGCTGTCTATCAGCCAGATAGGAGAACAGTGTCTCCTTCACAAGTCATAAAGGAATAAAGCCAAACACTGCTTATCCTCTGACAAATGTATAGGTACTGTAAATTCTGCTGACTCATGATTCCAATAGCAAGTTCCAGACTGGAGCTGGCATTGTACGTATAGCTAATAGCGTTTGCAAGCTTTAAAAAAAATTTGCCCTCTAAAGCTATCTTCAGAGGTTAGGATTGGAATTAGGTTTTGGTATGTGTCTGTAAAATGGCGAAACGAGATGCCCATGTGCTTGTCTTTCACTGCTCCTCTGTAGCTTTGGTTTGTGGTGCTTTGGTTTCGCTCTTTAACTTAAGCAACTAACTAATTTTACGACTCATGTTTGTCTAACATCCAAACTAGGCCCACATCTGTGAAATAATAGCTTATGTGTGCAGAATAAAGCACAGTCTTAGTTACGAGAATATATTTTGCTTGCTTGTTAGAACTTATTCACTACTATTATGTGATATCAAGGTCATAAATAAGAGACTACTTAAGAATAGGATTATACTTTTTATATAGGCTAATCACTCATGGGTTGATGCTACATACTTTTAATTCTACATTCCGGCCAATCACACATACCTAGCTAACTGTATGATAGGGTGTTTTTCCTCCTATATTAGCTTTTCCAAGCTTCAGGAGTAATAGAGTTGAGAAAGCACAAACTGGTTTGGGGCTCGTCAAGGATAATGATGTTGGAAGAGATTAGAGTTAACTGGTGTTGTTTCTTACACAGCCTGCACACACTTCATCAGTCTCATTCACAATTTGACAAGCACTTCATAATATTTTCACCCATCATACTATTTTCAATTGAATCTGGTCTTTACATATAGCCTACTATATGCATTTGGAAAGTATTCTGACCCCTTGACTTTTTCCACATTTTGTTACGTTACAGCCTTATTCTAAAATGGATTAAATAGTTTTCCCCCCTCATCAATCTACACACAACACCCCATAATGACAAAGCAAAAACAGGTTTATAGAATTTTTTGCACATTTATTAAATATAAAAATTCTGAAATACCTTATTTACATAAGTATTCAGACCCATTGCTATGAGACTCGAAATTGAGCTCAGGTAAATCCTGTTTCCATTGATCATCCTTGAGATGTTTCTACAACTTGATTGGAGTACACCTGTGGTAAATTCAATTGAATTGACATGTTTCTGAAAGGCACACACCTGTCTAGATAAGGTCCCACAGTTGACAAAAAGTTAGAGCAAAAACCAAGCCATGAGGTCGAAGGAATTGTGACGAGGCACAGAAAAAAATGTCTGCAGCATTGAAGGTCCCCAAGAGCACAGTGGCCTTCATCATTCTTAAATGGAAGACGTTTGGAACCATCAAGACTCTTCCTAGAGCTGGCCGCCCGGCCACACTGATCAATCGGGGGAGAAGGGCCTTGGTCAGGGAGGTGACCAAGAACCACGAGGGTCACTCTGACAGAGCTCCAGAGTTCCTCTTTGGAGATGGGTGAACATCCAGAAGGACAACAATCTCTGCAGCACTCCACCAATCAGGCCTTTATGGTAGAGTGGCCAGACGGAAGCCACTCCTCAGTAAAAGGCACATGACCGCCCGCTTGGAGTTTGCCAAAAGGCACCTAAAGGACTCTCAGACCATCTCTGGTCTGATGAAACCAAGATTGAACTATTTGGCCTGAATGCCAACCGTCACATCTGGAGGAACCCTGGCACCATCCCTACAGTGAAGCATGGTGGTGGCAGCATCATGCTGTGGGGATGTTTTTCAGCGGCAGGGACTGGGAGACTAGTCAGGATCAAGGGAAAGATGAACGGAGCAAAGTACAGAGAGATCCTTGATGAAAACCTGCTCCAGAGTGCTCAGGACCTCACTGTGGCGAAGGTTCACCTTCCAACAGGACAACGACCCTAAGCGCACAGCCAAGACAAGGATTGGCTTTGGGAGTCTCCTTGAGTATCCTTGAGTGGTCCAGCCAGAGCCCGCACTTGAACCCGATCTAACATCTCTGGAGAGACCTGAAAATAGCTGTGCAGCGACGCTCCCCATCCAACCTGACAGAGCTTGAGGGGATCTGCGTAGAAGAATGAGAGAAACTCCCCAAATACAGGTGTGCCAAGCTTGTAGTGTCTGTCGTGGAATATTCTAATCACGTGAGAGAGACTTTGTCATTTCTTCAAACAATCATCTTTATTCAATATCAATTTAATTATTGCAATAATGAAGCTGGTCGACCACACACTCCGAAGTGTGTTTTGCCTAGAGCTTAACCTTTACAGAAAATGCTGGTTCTTATATAGCTGACACTAAAAATGCTTAGTCATGGCTGGTTCTACCCCTCCCATGCAGATCGGGGGCATCATAAGCCACTTTGGTTTTATCTTGTGATTATCTGCACCTGGTGTTGTTTTAACCCCAAACCTGGGTTAGTTTCCCAAACACAAGGATGAACAGGCTATCTTTATCTCAGTTACACCCACCAGATCTTGTCTATGGAATGCATGCTGTAGATCAATTGCCAGCTATCTCTAGTGACCATATGCCCAGATTTAGCTGCAGGGAGCTAGTGTGGAGACCATAATAACACAGCATTAGTAGAACAGAAATGTCTTACTATTTGTATTAATATCAAACAAATCAGGTAAATACTTAATTTTTCTCTTACATTCCCCCATTTTGAGATTTTTCTCAACTTCAAAGAAAATTACACGTTTTAAAAAGACATTAAAATATAGTTTAAGAAATTCTCAGCATTTTTCAGCAGTACGAAACAAATCATGTTGATACTGAGCATACTCCCATTGGTCAGCATGGTGGAAGTAACCATTTCCGTTCCTATAGCACCATCTGTAGAAACTAAAATTAGTGTATCTTGTTGGACAATTCAAGGTAATGACTCCCGGTTTAAGTAAAATGTATTCCGTTTAGTGCCTAATGAACATGACCCAGGACAAGCATCATGATTCCACTATTTATAAGGCAACACCCATGGACTCTATGTTCCATAAGCATAAACCTGCTATAGTTCCTATTAGTATTAACATTATCATCAAAAATGTAATTTGGTAATGGATATAGGTCAAATAGATTAGGATCAGTTTCATTCTTAGGATCAGAGTTCAGCCTATCCATTCACCAGGGCATGCTGAGAATAGTGTCAACATCTTTAGTACACAACTTCTTTACACATGTCACGATCAGCATAACAACAATAAAAACAATCAATACATAATACATTCATTGCTTAAGTATTAATATCAAACAAATCAAGTAAATACTTAATTTTTCTCTCACACGTCATACCCAAGAAGACTCGAGGCTGTAATCGCTGCCAAAGGTGCTTCAACAAAGTACTGAGTGAAGGGTCTGAATACTTATGTAAATGGTGATATTTCAGTTTCTTTTTATTTATTTTTATACATTTGCTAAATACCTGTTTTTGCTTTGTCATTATGGGGTATTGTGTGTAGATTGATGAGGGGGGAAATAAACAATTTAATCCATTTTAGAATAAGGCTGTAACGTAACAAAATTTGGAATTTAATACTTTCCGAATGCACTGTATGGGCTAGGCTACATGATGCATGTGATTTGAAAGTCGGCCCCAAAAAATGTACGCTCTGTTTCTTGCCTTAGACTGCACACGCTGGGCATCATTCACAAGTGGTAATATTCTCACCCATCAGACAACAATCAATTTAATCTTTACATATAATGTAAATGTGAAATTAGTATTGATTTAGAATGGGCCGTTATCATGCACCTGTCGGGAATAAGGGCAGGGTAAAAAAACAAACATGTCATGCATTTGTATAGCGAGAATGGAGGACGCTTTTCTCACTGTTAATTTTCATACCTGTCAGGTAGGCTACTCCGATTTGTAAAGCGATGCAATGTGCTTAATATTAGTAAAGTTGAGCAATAAATATAGTAGACCTAGCCGATAGAAAGCTGATGGGATCCTCTTTTTTTTTATAGAGGCCATCAAAGCTGTTTCTCGCGCAATAGAATAGCCTATAAAAATATAGCGCTTATACATGGGCTTATAGGAACACTCATTTCATTCCATGCATCAACCTGCTACACAACAGGTGATCCTGTTCTGCTCAAACTGAATGCCAGGGCTCTCATTAAGTGTTTGATTAGATTTTCGGATGGATTTGCATTGATGTCGGAGTGATTTGAGCGGTCTGTGACAGATAGCCTAGTGGTTGATATTACGTTGAGTGTAGTCATAATCTCCTAGACCAGGGGTGTCAAACTCATGCCATGGTGGGCCTAGTGTTTTTTTAACTTTCAATTAAGACCTAGACAATCAGGTGAGGGTAGTTCCTTACTAATTAGTGACCTTAATTCATCAATCAAGTACAGTGGGGAAAAAAAGTATTTAGTCAGCCACCAATTGTGCAAGGTCTCCCACTTAAAAAGATGAGAGAGGCCTGTAATTTTCATCATAGGTACACGTCAACTATGACAGACAAATTGAGGAAAAAAACCCAGAAAATCACATTGTAGGATTTTTTATGAATTTATTTGCAAATTATGGTGGAAAATAAGTATTTGGTCACCTACAAACAAGCAAGATTTCTGGCTCTCACAGACCTGTAACTTCTTCTTTAAGAGGCTCCTCTGTCCTCCACTCGTTACCTGTATTAATGGCACCTGTTTGAACTTGTTATCAGTATAAAAGACACCTGTCCACAACCTCAAACAGTCACACTCCAAACTCCACTATGGCCAAGACCAAAGAGCTGTCAAAGGACACCAGAAACAAAATTGTAGACCTGCACCAGGCTGGGAAGACTGAATCTGCAATAGGTAAGCAGCTTGGTTTGAAGAAATCAACTGTGGGAGCAATTATTAGGAAATGGAAGACATACAAGACCACTGATAATCTCCCTCGATCTGGGGCTCCACGCAAGATCTCACCCCGTGGGGTCAAAATGATCACAAGAACGGTGAGCATAAATCCCAGAACCACACGGGGGGACCTAGTGAATGACCTGCAGAGAGCTGGGACCAAAGTAACAAAGCCTACCATTAGTAACACACTACGCCACCAGGGACTCAAATCCTGCAGTGCAAGACGTGTCCCCCTGCTTAAGCCAGTACATGTCCAGGCCCGTCTGAAGTTTGCTAGAGTGCATTTGGATGATCCAGAAGAGGATTGGGAGAATGTCATATGGTCAGATGAAACCAAAATAGAACTTTTTGGTAAAAACTCAACTCGTCGTGTTTGGAGGACAAAGAATGCTGAGTTGCATCCAAAGAACACCATACCTACTGTGAAGCATGGGGGTGGAAACATCATGCTTTGGGGCTGTTTTTCTGCAAAGGGACCAGGACGACTGATCCGTGTAAAGGAAAGAATGAATGGGGCCATGTACCATGAGATTTTGAGTGAAAACCTCCTTCCATCAGCAAGGGCATTGAAGATGAAATGTGGCTGGGTCTTTCAGCATGACAATGATCCCAAACACACCGCCCGGGCAACGAAGGAGTGGCTTCGTAAGAAGCATTTCAAGGTCCTGGAGTGGCCTAGCCAGTCTCCAGATCTCAACCCCATAGAAAATCTTTGGAGGGAGTTGAAAGTCTGTGTTGCCCAGCGACAGCCCCAAAACATCACTGCTCTAGAGGAGATCTGCATGGAGGAATGGGCCAAAATACCAGCAACAGTGTGTGAAAACCTTGTGAAGACTTACAGAAAACGTTTGACCTGTGTCATTGCCAACAAAGGGTATATAACAAAGTATTGAGAAACTTTTGTTATTGACCAAATACTTATTTTCTACCATTTGCAAATAAATTCATAAAAAATCCTACAATGTGATTTTCTGGATTTGTTTCCTCATTTTGTCTGTCATAGTTGACGTGTACCTATGATGAAAATTACAGGCCTCTCTCATCTTTTTAAGTGGGAGAACTTGCACAATTGGTGGCTGACTAAATACTTTTTTTCCCCACTGTACAAGGGAGGTGTGAAAACCCGCATACACTCGGCCCTCCGTGGAATTAGTTTGACGTGTCATAGACCGAGGAAGGGGCAGGAAGGGAGGTTTGGGAGAGTGGTCTTAAACACTACTGCCTTTAATTTCCCTTTAGTTTACTCATCCACACACACATTTCACTGTGCTTCCTACAGGTGCTTTGACACTCACATTATGCCCACTTGTCACTCTCACCCTCTTCCTTCCATCTCCTTCCCACAGCTCTCAGTGAAGGGCTACAATGACAAGCAGCACATCCTGCTGAAGAAGATCATTGAGAAGATGGCCAACTTTGAGATTGACGAGAAACGCTTTGACATCATCAAGGAAGCGGTAAGCTGAGCCCTCCCACAGTTTAGAACAGTACTGATATGACCATTATATCAGATCAAATGTTTTTTTACTTTGTGGTTCTGATATTGTGTTTGACCCCATGGCACACCAGAGCTACCCTCAAATGAGCGGCAGGTAGCCTAGCGGTCTCAGGGAGAGGGAGATATGCAAAAAACACATGAAATAGGACCAATATAAGCACCCACCAAATTATTATTATGTTTTGTTTGACCCTTGACTGGGCTGAACTTTGACTCCTGGTTGCCCTTGACTCCTCCTCCAGTATATGAGGTCACTGAACAACTTCCGGGCAGAGCAACCCCATCAGCATGCCATGTACTACCTGCGTCTGCTGATGACAGAGGTGGCCTGGACCAAAGACGAGCTCAAGGAGGCTCTGGACGGTGAGCCATTCTCTTTCCCTCTCTCTCTCTCTCTCTCTCTCTCTCTCTCTCTCTCTCTCTCTCTCTCTCTCTCTCTCTCTCTCTCTCTCTCTCTCTCTCTCGCTCTCGCTCTCGCTCTCGCTCTCGCTCTCTCTCTCTCACACACACACTCCCTATATCTCCGCCACTCCCATTTGAATGCTGAGCCAGTGTTTGAGCTCCTCTCCTGAGCTGCAGTCATTTCTCTACGGTGAAAGTCTCACCAGCAGAAGAGGAGCAGATGTACTGTCTGTAGGTTCAGTACGTTATGTGCTCTCAATGGAGCCTCGACAGATGTCCTGTGCATCACTTGAGGCTCAGTTCACCTTCTGTCTGGGTACAGTCCAATAAAACCTGTTCTCATTGTTACCTCAAATAAACCCTGTTCCCTTTCTCTGGGTCTCCAGACATCCTCAGACCCCTGTCCCTGGTTTTTAGACAGGCTACTGCTGTTTGCACCGTTTCCTACTTCCTTTCCCAGTTACCCTGGCTGCTCATCCATCACCTTTCGTCACTAACTGAATGAATCTGGGTCAGACGATGTGTGAATTCAGATGGACCAACCTACGCAGAGAGGAAGTGTGTGTGCTTGTGTTGTCTGCATATCTCCATGCTCGTGTGACTGTTTCTAGGGTGTGAGTGTACGTACATTTCTGCCCTATGTGGTGGCAGGCAGAGCCCACATGACTGCAATGCTTTTGATTCTGTTTTATCCTGATTTATGATGGCTCTGTAATTGATTGCTTCTGTCTTCCAGATGTCACTCTCCCCCGCCTCAAGGCCTTTATACCTCAGCTATTGTCACGGTTACACATCGAGACCCTTCTTCATGGCAACATCACCAAGGAGGTTCGTTTGATGTTGCAACCTTCGAGTGGACAGACTTTTGTATTATTTTGTTTGTTATAGGCAGTCAGACAAAGACCGTCACACCGCACGCACACACAGACAGACATTATATGTGTAGAATGTAGATTTGTTCTATAACTGCTTATAAAGTCAGCCCCTCCTCTCCCGTATAGGTTTTAAGTGGAATCCTTATATCTGTCATAGAACCGTCACACACCGTCAATCCCTGATAAGATCCTCCGATCAAATCACACACTTTATATAATATCCAAGCTGTCCATGAACAGTCTCCCTTATCTCTGGTAATGATGCCCAGTGGAGAGTTGTCACAGTCTAGTGGAGAGGGAATTGGATGCACCAGCCGGGGCAATGGTCCACTTCATCACCATGGAGATTCACTGTGCACTGCAGGGCTCCTATTACCTTAGATGGAGCTAGTACTGCGTGGACAGAATATTGTAGCAGTGTTGTTTCCGATTCAGTGGAAGGCCATATAGATGGGCATCTGCTATTTACCATAGAACGTGTGAGAGACGAGCGATGCGAAAGATTAGAAAGAGGAATCTTAACCAATTTTAAAGGTGGATTAATAGACTGATTTATCATTCGCACCTCTCACGTTTCTTTTTTTAAAATTTCTTTCTCCAGTCTGCTCTAGGCATGATGCAGATGGTCGAGGACACGCTTATGAATCAAGCCCACACCAAGCCCCTCTTACCAAGCCAGTTGATTCGCTACAGGGAGGTGCAGGTGCCAGATGGTAGGTCAAGTTCCCTGTCCATCACTCCCATCACCCTCCGGTACCTGCCAGTCATGCCCATCCCCATGGTGACCCTGCTGAAGGTTTCTTACCCAACAGTCTGGCCTACATCAGGACCTGTGCTCGTGTAACACCTTGGTGTCAGTGACCCTCCAATGTCCTAGGGGGAAAGGCTCACTTAACAAGGGGAAATGGACATCACTGAGAAATACAATACAACACACTTTTTTCCTTAACCTCTTACACACACACCCCGCACACTACACAGCACAACAACACACCTGTGCCACACTTTTCCTGATGACAGGTAACTTGAGCGTAGGGGAGAGGAAAAGCAGGTCTGTCTGGGTCACCTGGAAACATCCTGTGTCCCGCTGAGGGATTTTTCAGGCCTGGATCCAGCCAGACTCCAGTCGGGGACGGAATCAAGAGTAGGACTGAGGGTTGAAAACACAGAGAAAACTAACCGTGGGACGGAGAACAATTTATAGCTTCCCAACACAAAAGTTTTGAACAAGTTTAGAACTTTCAGAAACATACTTCTACTGCTTACTTCCACTCATCTTCACCCACACACTTTTTGGATTCTGAGTGCCAGTGAAGAGCTTTTACTCAGCAAAAGAGTGATGTTGGCTCAGTCTCTCCTGTCTGGAGACTTGAGTGTCATCACTGTCCTCTAGCTGAACTCTATATATAACATTCCTGTAATACACCTTTTAAATCTATCTCTCAGTCCAAACATGTTCTTTAGTAATTGCAGATTTACAGTGAAGCCGGTGATGAATCAACCGGCTAGGTCGTTCAGAGGTCGTTGCTTATTCCTAAATGCATTTAGTTAAGCCTCAATGTTTACCGAGTCACGCATGCAGCAGTTTACACTTTGCATTTGGGTTAGCTGTTTGAGGGCCATGCCTTCTGTATTACATGTTTGGTGAATATGTTTTTTTGAAGATTGTGATGCTGCAGCTACATTTTCTGTAAGCCCTGGGTCATGTATTTATTAGGCACCAAAGGGACTGAAACTGGGAGCGACTACCTGGACGACTTGTCCAATAACCAGCACTTGTTTTCCTTTTCTGTTGCAAAACATTTTCCATTATGCCATAATGAATAAGATGCTACCTGTGCCTTCCAGGTGGCTGGTATGTGTACCAGCAGAGGAACGAGGTGCACAACAACTGTGGCATAGAGATCTACTACCAGACAGACATGCAGACAACCCACGACAACATGCTGCTGGAACTCTTCTGTCAGATCATCGCTGAGCCCTGCTTCAACACACTGCGCACCAAGGAACAGTTGGGTAAGACCGCGCGCACACACCCCAGTGGAGACCGGTCCAGGTAGGCAGAATGGACCTCCCTTGGAAATGTCCATCGTAAAGTACTTAAACGCAAACTCAAAACCCTGCAGTGAAAAAGGGACAGTATACGGTGCATTCTGAAATTATTCAGGCCCCTTGACCTTTTCCACATTTTGTTGCATTACAGCCGTATTCTAAAATGGATTAAATCGTTTTTTCCCCTCCCCAATCTACACACAATACCCCATAATGACAAAGCAAAAACAGTTTTTTTTTGGACATTTTAGCAAATGTATTAAAAATTAAAAGCAGAAATACCTTATTTACATAAGTATTCAGAACCTTTGTTATGAGACTCGAGATTGAGCTCAGGTGCATCCTGTTTCCATTGATCATCCTTGAGATGTTTCTACAACTTGATTGGAGTCCACCTGTACCCAAAAATGTCTGCCACATTGAAGGGCCCCAACAACACAGTGGCCTCCATCATTCTTAAATGGAAGAAGTTTGGACCGAAGCCACTCCTCAGTTAAAGGCACATGACAGCTCGCTTGGAGTTTGCTAAAAGGTGCCTAAAGGACTCTGACCATGAGAAACTCTTTGGCCTGATAGCCAAGCGTCACACTCATCACCTGGCCAATACCATCCCTACAGTGAAGCATGGTGGTGGCAGCATCATGCTGTGGGGATGTTTTTCAGCAGCAGGGATTCGGAGACTAGTCAGGATCGAGGGAAAGATGAACAGAGCAAAGTACAGAGAGATCCTTGATGAAAGGACAATTGAAACCATTTTAGAATAAGGCTGTATTGTAACAAAATGTGGAAAATGTCAATGGGTCTGAATACTTTCCGAATGCGAGACCGTTCTTCCACGAGAAATGGTGTTGATGGTGGTGGAAAATGTTCTCTCAGGTGCCACTCCAGAATCTCCCTTAAGTGTTCAATTGGATTGAGATCTGGTGACTCTCACTCACACACACACACACACACACACACACTTATGCTCCTTTGAGACCTCTCTTTCAAAGTCACTGAGATCTCTTCTAGCCATGGAAGCCAAAATAATGGGTAACTGGGCATTTTTATACATGATGGGATGTTAATTGCTAAATAAACTGAGGATCACAGCTGTGTGGAAGCACCTGCTTTCAATATACTTTATATCCCTCATTTACTCAAGTGTTTCCTTTACCTGTACATGCAGTTATACACCTATAAACACATGTTCCTGAATTTACAGTGCATTTTTTCCGACTTTTACTCTGCTCTCTCCTCAGGGTACATAGTGTTTAGCGGTCCGCGGCGCGCTAACGGGGTCCAGGGCCTGCGCTTCATCATCCAGTCGGAGAAGGCCCCCCACTACCTGGAGAGCCGGGTAGAGGCCTTCCTAAAAGCCACAGAGAAGTCTGTGGAGGAAATGAATGACGAGGCCTTCCAGAAACACATCCAGGCCCTGGCCATCCGCCGCCTGGACAAGCCCAAGAAGCTGGCCGCCGAGTGCGCCAAGTACTGGGGGGAGATCATCTCCCAGCAGTACAACTTTGACAGAGGTGAGCATGCGTAGACACTCAATGAGCAACCACACACCTTTACCTGAGCTGGAGGCCTAAGAGCTTTTTCCAAGTGTTAGCTGTGGGGAGTTTGGTGAGTTAGTGTCGACTAAATGGATATTCCTCCTGACCCTCCTCCTATTATAACTGCTAGGAGGCCTTGTTATATGAACAGGTGTTTTGAGTGAGATTAATTTATCACGATATTGACATTCTGGAGGATCCCCGAGGTGAAAGTTGTTGCCACCACGGAACTGCCTGCCGCACAAATTAGCATTGATTAGGCCCCAGAATAATCAGCACCCAGAGCACACCTCCACCCAGAGCACACCTCCACCCAGAGCACACCTCCTGAGTGCTGTTATGGGCTGGAAATCTGCCCTAAACCCCTGTGCGATCCAAGTAGAGGGTGATGATGACCATGTTTTCATTGTTGGAGGGGAAGGATAGGAGACTGAGGGCCGCAACGGTCTGCACACCAAGGTAATGATAGGAAGTGGAGCCTAGTCAATAGTGGAACATTGTACAGCCAGGTCAGTGTGGGTGGTGACCCTGTAAAGCTATTGTGTTGCTCCTTACAGAAGCTTTTTATATAGAAGTAAGAGGGTAAGAGAGGAATTCTTATTTAAGAGTTAAACTATTTATTTCATGGTATCCTTCTGGTGATGAGTATGTAGGGACTTTGCCACTAGTTCTGTTCTACATTCATGCATACATACAAAAGTTTCCCCCCCTGTTTAGGTCTAAGCTGAAGTGATATCTCAAATCATCCTCTGTTAGTCCTAAGTATTTCCTGTTGTTTTCTAGATAACATTGAGGTGGCCTATCTGAAGACGTTGACTAAAGAAAACATCATGCAGTTCTACCGGGTGAGTAGCGCTCTCTCCATTTGCATTGCATACCACTTACGTTTTAGGTAAAGTCATACTTTCTCACACAAGCAGTTGCCATGGAGACATACAATCTTTTCTAGCTATTTTTTTCTTTTCTTCACCCCCCTCCCATTTTGAGATGTCTGCTGTATATAATTCTTACTCTTTACCATAGGACTCAATTGGTGTCTGTATGTGTGCCCATGTGCGTGCAACTGGAAGATGGCACCCTGTTTTATTTATTCCCCTCCACCACTCTTATCCTCCACGTCCTGGTTCTATTCATAGCTTTGGAGGGGACACTGACACGGTGCGCTGTGCTCATGGAATAACAACAACCATAATGAGGGGTTGCGTCACCGCCAGGGTGGTGTGTGTTTCAAGGGGATAAGGGGACCAAGGATACAGAGGCAATGAAAGACTTCCCATATTTCTACGTCAGCAGAAGCAGCACAGGCCCCATGCAGAATATTTTAATTATGTAATACATTTCTAATGCTGTATCGGTAGTAATCACATCACCATCTTTTTTTACCACTACCTCCCTCAGTCTATTTGACTGTGGAATTCTATGTTTTGATGCAGAATACTGGGAACTTAATTCAGTGTTTCCCCTTAGGATATTTTCAGCAGCGGTGGCAAAGGTAGCTGGGGGTGGGAGGGGGGGGTCTGGGTGTTGCAGTGGGCGTGGCCAATGGCGCTGTCACTGACCGCACATTTTAGAGGCCATCAACTTGGCAACAGAGACTAAATGTTGCTCTTTTAAAGCTAATTTTGCCATTGGGCGGAAAGAGCAAATTGCCATTTAAAAAATAATTTCCTGCATAACTATTCACCCCCCCCAAAGTCAATACTTTGTAGAGCCACCTTCTGCAGCAATTACAGCTGCAAGTCTCTTGGGGTATGACTCTATAAGCTTGGCACATCTAGCCACTGGGATTTTTGCCCATTCTTCAAGGCAAAACTGCTCCAGCTCCTTCAAGTTGGATGGGTTCCGCTGGTGTCCAGCAATCTTTAAGTCATACCACAGATTCTCAATTGGATTGAGGTCTGGGCTTTGACTAGGCCATTCCAAGACATTTAAATGTTTCCCCTTAAACCACTCAAGTGTTGCTTTAGCAATATGCTTAGGGTCATTGTCCTGCTGGAAGGTGAACCTCTGTCCCAGTCTCAAATCTCTGGAAGACTGAAACAGGTCTTCCTCAAGAATTTCCCTGTATTTAGCGCCATCCATCATTCCTTCAATTCTGCCGATGAAAAACATCCCCACAGCATGATGCTGCCACCACCATGCTTCACTGTGGAGATGGTGTTTTCGGGGTGATGAGAGGTGTTGGGTTTGCGCCAGACATAGCGTTTTCGTTGATGGCCAAAAAGCTCAATATTAGTCTCATCTGACCAGAGTACCTTCTTCCATATGTTTGGGGAGTCTCCCACATGCCTTTTGGTGAACACCAAACTTGTTTGCTTATTTTTTTTTAAAGCAATGGCTTTTTTCTGGCCACTCTTCCATAAATCCCAGCTCTGTGGAGTGTACGGCTTAAAGTTGCTCTATGGACAGATACTCCAATCTCCGCTGTGGAGCTTTGCAGCTCCTTCAGGGTTATCTTTGGTCTCTTTGTTGCCTCTCTGATTAATGCCCTCCTTGCCTGGTCTGTGAGTTTTGGTGGGCAGCCCTCTCTTGGCAGGTTTGTTGTGGTGCCATATTCTTTCCATTTTTTTATAATGGATTTAATGGTGCTCCGTGGGATGTTCAAAGTTTCAGATAATTTTTTATAACCCAACCCTGATCTGTACTTCTCCACAAATTTGTCACTGACCTGTTTGGAGAGCTCCTTGGTCTTCATGGTGCCGCTTGCTTGCTTGGTGGTTCCCCTTGCTTAGTGGTGTTGCAGACTCTGGGGCCTTTCAGAACAGGTGTATATATACTGAGATCATGTGACAGATCATGTGACACTTAGATTGCACACAGGTGGACTTTATTTAACTAATTATGTGACTTCTGAAGGTAAGTGGTTGCACCAGATCTTATTTAGGGGCTTCATAGCAAAGGGGGGTGAATACATATGCACGCACCACTTTTCCATAATTGTTTAGAATTTTTTGAAACAAGTTATTTTTTTCATTTCACTTCACCAATTTGGACTATTTTTTGTATGTCCATTACATGAAATCCAAATAAAAATCTATTTAAATTACAGGTTGTAATGCAACAAAATAGGAAAAACGCCAAGGGGGATGAATACTTTTGCAAAGCACTGTAACTGATGCGTGCTACTGATGCACTGTAGGAAGATGATGCGCAAGTGGAGACTGTGCGCTCGTGGCTCTCATGCCACTGCTCACTCTGCTACAAATTCTGATCTTAAAGGGATATTGTGAGATTTTGGGAATTAAGCCCTTTTTTACTTAGTCAGATGAGCTCATAGATACCATTGTTATGTCTGTGTGCAGTTTGAAGGACGTTATCACAATGAGCATGCTAGCTGTTCCCATAGACTTCGTCATGGCGCTAATGCTAGTTAGCAATTGCGCTAATGCTAGTTAGCAACATCCTTCAAACTGCACGCAGCTATAACAATGGTAAGGTCCCGTGTAGCTCAGTTGGTAGAGCATGGCGCTTGCAACGCCAGGGTTGTGAGTTCGATTCCCACGGGGGGCCAGTATGAAAAATGTATGCACTCACTAACTGTAAGTCGCTCTGGATAAGAGCGTCTGCTAAATGACTAAACATTTAAATGTATTCATGAGTTCATCTGACTCTGGGTATGAAAAGTGCTTACTATCCCTTTAAAAGTGTGTCTCGGCAGAAGTATTTGTAAAAAATAATAATTCGATTTTATTTGTAAAACTATTTTTGGCAGTGGCAGCAACTATTTAGCAGCGGCGGGGTGTCGCTGCTGAATTAATATAGGGGAAACACTGTAATTTATTTTTCGCAGACAGTGAACTTAATAAAGGCTTCAGTTAAATGGTATGTCTCTTCTCTGTCTCTATCAAAATCCTGTCCTTTGTAGGATCTGTTGGCGGTGGACGCACCCAAGAGGCACAAGGTGTCTGTGCACGTCCTGTCTAGGGAGATGGACTCCTGTGAGTATTGTACTAGTGATGGAGAGTTTTTGGGGTGGAGGATATAAATTCAATTGGGTTTGTTAGTGTGAATATGTTGATTTTACTGTTTTTAACAGTTGTGTTGAAATGTCTTTGTCTTTTGTTTAGGCCCCATCGTGGGAGAGTTCCCTGCCCAGAATGATGTCAACCTGGCCCCTGCCCCATCCCTGCCACAGGTAATGTGGATTCACCTTTCTCTGTGTGTGTGTTCCATTAGCACAGCAGTGTTGGTGTGTAACATACTGACCTGTCCATCTCTCTCTGTGCAGCCTACATTGGTGCAGGACATGACTGAGTTCAAGAGGAGCCTGCCCCTCTTTCCCCTGGCCAAGCCTCACATCAACTTCATGGCTGCCAAACTGTGAGGACCGAGCAGCATGAGAGCACTGTGGGGGGGTGCTGGGGGACCCTGCAATGTCCCTCTACGCCCCCCTGTGGCAACTGGAGTCTGGAACACACTCATCTGACTGAGCATGCATGTGTGTTTGTCTCTCTGTGTGTGTGTGTGTGGTAAACTGGAGAGGCCACTAGAGGTGCTTGGAAATGTGTGATTCACACAACTTAGCTGTGGTTCTCATCATAGCTCAGTTTAATAGTAGAGGTCACACACAAAAACTAACTTCGTTTTAGTCTCATGGAAAACCCCACCAACACACATTCCCGACATTGTATAGACTGTTTGTAGAGGAATAGTACTGACATAAAGAACCTCAAGGCCAGAACCCTGTAAACCAGTACAAATACCCCTTGATACTTCATGATGGAAGTGTTTTTATTCAGCTTAGCCACAAGGGCATGCTGCTGTGGTGAGAATAAATGGTTAGTTAATGATTATGGTGATGTGAAGCTGTTGAAGTAGGTGGTTAGCTCTGCAGGGGTGCACATTCTTTCATTTCAGACACGCTGGACACACATTTCTCTTATGTACTCATGCGATGCATCGAGGCACGGTGACAACTCCCCAAATTGTTATCATGGAGACACTTTGTGTTTAAATAATGACTGTGCAACACACTATTTTAGACTTTCTGTTTTATGACAAAAAAATTAGATCAGCCTTATGGAAATGATTCTGTTTTAATCCATAATGTACACGTTTTGAGATCTGACTCTTTTCTTTTTTTATTTAAACTAGTAAAATGTCGGTGCCCTTTGAGGAGCTGTTTTAAAACTGCTTATTTGGTGGAGAGGCGTGTTCATTAAGCTTTTCTTTTTAACTAGTGCTTTCTACAGGGTTGTATTATTATCCGAGCATCATCTCAGGGTACCTCAATCTTTTTCTTTTTCTTTTATTTGAGATTGAAGAAAAATAAACGTATTTTAAATGTCTGTATTTAATTAGTTAATTACTTGTTTGGAGTCATAAATTAGCTTTTGTTGTTCAAATATTGTTATTATTTTAATCTGAATTAAGTGTTCGGCTACCGATTTCTTGCATAGGGCCCTCCCCCTATCCTCTCCCCCCATCTTTCTCCATTTGAGACTTAGCTTGTGCCTTTAAAAGGGGGGCGATGATTGGTCATTCTCTGGCAGTGAAGATTGTCTCTTACAAAGCTGGAGCAATAGAGATTTCTCTATGGCTGGTGGAGTCAGCTGGATACACAGCACAGCAGTGTGTAGTTTGACAGTCAGTCAACTGCACTTTGTCTCTGTGGGTCAGACTTGGAACAGGATTGCTTAAAGACCCACTGGGCAAACACTGGTTGAATCAACTTTGATTCCGTGTCATTTCAATGAAAATTACATTGAACCAGCGTGGAATTGACATCTGTGCCCAGTGGGGATGCTGTTCTTCAGAAAAACATTAAATAGGACTGTTTTAGAATGTCTGGTGGGGTAAACTGATTTTCAGTGTAGTATTTTTTTTCAGAACACCTTTTTAAATAATCATGTTTTTTTCTGTAAGGGTTCAAAAGAGGCCTATGTATGGAGGGTGAAGGTGTAGTCAGGCCTGTTTCTCAATATGCACTTCTCACTAAGCAATAAAATCTGTTGGGAATCAAATGGTCTCTGTAATGTTATGTAGAGGGGGGACACACTGCACTGCAGTCTCGGGTCCTTGCTCTAATCCAGCCTAAAAACGGACACATTGATATTGAAAAGCGGCACCGGCTGTTTTCTGTGTGGGTTGGAGTCATGTCATTACAGTGTCTGTGTAAAGCATGGCCTAGTCTCAGGTGTTAACAAGCCTTGCCAAGTTAAGCTGGCGCCAACCACTCTGATACAGCAAATATCAGCTTTATGTGATCTCCCATACGTCCTCAGGCCTATCAATCAACTGTAATGTTAACTTAATGATGCATTGTTTTTAAAGGAGGGAAGAAATATCTGGTCTCTTAAATATATGTATCTTTAGCATTGGAATAAGGCAAAGTGTCATCTGTCAACGCATTTTTCAAAGTAGTACTGAAAGCTTAACGGTTTTCCAGCATTTTACTATGTTTACCACCCCAACCAGTTTTTCTTTGAGTTTCCATGATAAGTAATCAGTATAGACTCTAACATGGGAATAACTAGATGTTGGTTCACTTTATGATAAACTGGGTAGTATTCATTTGACAGAATTACTGAAACCGGAAGGGACTACCTGAACTTGTCCGATAAGAAACGCCTGTTTTTCATTTTCGGTTGCAAAATGTTTAGCTACGGTGTGCCCTAATTACATTTAAGTCATTTAGCAGACGCTCTTATCCAGAGCGACTTACAGTTAGTGAGTGCATAAATTTTTCATACTGCCAGCCTGATCATATGAAACTGTTCTGATGGAAAGAGTTTCAGCGAGACTTGTCAGTGGAAACTGCTGTCAATTGGCTGATTGTGATTGGTTGGTTGTTGCTGCAGACATGTTCATGGCTTAGTAATGCAGAAATGTTGAGTTTTTTTATTTCCTCCTGTGTGTTTAATAAATGACTATACTGGAACAAATAGTTATTTAAAGAGACTCGTGTCAGTCAACGCAGGATTTGAATCCCAAATATGGCTGCCTCAGAACACAATATGCTAGTATACTAAAGTAATATATAGACGAAGTGTTATCTTTCACCCATAAACTATGAAATAGTGATTCATTCAAGCTGTTTTTGAGCTATACTAGCCCCTTATTCATGTTTATGAAATTTGGATTGAATCAGTCCTACAATATACAGCTGGACCTTAGAATGAACACATCCACTTCAAGGTTTGAAAAAATACATTTATTCACACTCGACCATGAAACTATAAATTGAGAAAAAATGTCTGTACAATACAATTAATATACAACTTCAATGTCACTTTTGGCATAATGTATTTTCTTTAGTTAATGTAAAAGCTGAGCTGACCACAGCAGATTGGAGCATATCTGTCTACCAGGCACAGCTAAAAGAGATGTGCACATCAATATTAAATATTCAAATGATTGGTTTATGGCATGCCTTTTTCACACAAGTAATTTACTGTATACTGGTTCTACCGCACTTTTAGAATAGAGTATTTACAGAATGGGTTATTATTACGTGACTGCAATGAGCATATACTGAAAGAAACAAAGCAAGTGGTGGCGTTAGCAAGTTAATATGTGGCGGAAAATGCGATTTGGGTTAAAAGACAAGTCAATCTCACCTTTATTCAGTGGACAACATGCCATTTTGTGCTCTCATTTGAAAGGCAAAGCGGCACGTGTCAGATCTAGATCATCCATCCACCCACCTCCCCATTACAGGCTTGCACATCACATTCTCTGTCATCTACTCATGAGTAGAAGACAATTACACAAAATCGGCTACAAACAGAACTAATGACAACACTTCAAGGCATATGCCTAAAAAATACCCTTGAATGTTTCATCCAATACTTATTGTGCAATTACTGTATGTACAGACAATCACACTTATGTTTGTACTGTGCTTCTAAATAATTTAGATAATGTTATTAGAGTCACAAGTCTGGGGATATTTACCAATGGAAACATGGCAAAAATGTCTTAGGGGAGCAGGTAAGAGGTTCTTTGTCATTCAAATAATCATCCTTTAGTGATAAAGATATTTTATTATTCTAATTTCTCTTAAAACACATTCAATACAGGAAAACAATATTCCTCATTGGCAAACAATTTCAAAACTGCAAAATTAACTATGACAATTACATAACTTTCCTGTCTAATAATTACACGTGTCCCAGATGTATCTTTTCAAAATACAACGAGCACTGGTTATGTGATAATTTTTTTTTGCTACAGCCTCATAGCAGTCACAAGTCACATTCCAGGGAAAAAAAGAGCTCCTGTGTGGAATATGCATGAGCACATGTCTGTATCAGTGTTCTTGTCTCGTCTCTTCTCCTTTGAATGTTTTAAAAACAAAATAGAACATGGTGATAATCATACAGCATGAATGTCAGCCGCATACGACGATGACTCCCTAAAGAGCAGAAACAGAATGAGGTGAGGCGAGGCTGCTTAGAGGGGTGTAAGAGGTAGGGGGCGCCAATGATCCCTATGTCCGTCAATCTGTCTGTCCGACAGTGTTCCTGCTCAGAGTTCACTGTCTTGCTCCATCCACTCCCCCTGTGTATCAATTTGTCTGTCCGTCCGTCCATGCCCCTTCTCAGGCCTCCTGTGCCTCGGTAAAGTTGAGGATCTTGCGGTGGGCTTGTCTCTGGTACTGCTGCTGTTTGAAGTACACTTTGAACGCTCCCTTGACGGCCACAAACGCGATCCCACCCTGCAGACAGGACAAAAATAACTAAGGGTAAGCACAGTACCAAGGAGGGGTCATCAGCACTCAGCTCGGCATGTATCAACTCATTTGTCATTGTTCTTTATCTTGCTGCTCTGTCTGGTTTTTCCATTTGCTACACAACTGATTGTACAAAACATTAGGAACACCTGCTCTTTCCATGACAGACGGACCAGGTGAAAGCTATGATCCCTTATTGATGACACTTGTTAAATCCACTTTAATCAGTGTAGATGACGGGGAGGAGACAGGTTAAAGAAGGATTTTTAAGCATTGAGACAGTGGATTGTGTATGTGTGCCATTCAGAGGGTAAATGGGCAAGACAAAATATTTAAGTGCCTTTGAACGGGGTATGGTAATAGGTTCCAGGCACACCGGTTTGAATGTGTCAAGAACTGCAAACCAGTTTTTTTCACGCTCAACAGTTTCCGTGTGTATAAAGAATGGTCCACCACCCAAAGAACATCCAGCCAACTTGACACAACTGTGTCTACTTTCGACACTTTGTAGAGTCCATGGCCCAACGAATTGATGTTGGTGTGTCTAATGTTTTGTACTCTGTGTAGTTCTCTAATACTGTAGTAGATACAGTATATCCTTAAAACGGTTCACTATAACCTGCCATATGACAATACATGTACACCTCTCCATGTCAGTGCCAACACAGCCTCCATTGAGTAATTTACTAATAGAACCATGAGATCAGGTAGTTTTGTTGCTCTAATGCTAAGTGGGGTTAAAGGGAACCTGAGTGTGAGTGTCTGCGTGGGGCAGAAATGTCCAGAGGGGGCATTCAGCGCACTCTCAGGTGTGTGCGTGTGTGTGGTGCACAGGGGTGATGGGTCACAAGGAGGCCTAAAGCCCTGGTTGTCGCATTGACTTCAGCCTGCCTTGCTAGGTACATTCCTACATCCTAAATTCATGAGGAATAACTACCAATTAACTTACAGCCAACTACCATCTAACTGCCAGCTAACTTAGTTACCTCAGAATGGGCCAGTAGGAGCTAGTACAGGTATAGCCATTGCAAAAACCCTGCAATCACTAAATAGGAGGAATATGTGGTCAAGATAACTACAATGGCCAAGACCCAAGCCAGTCACTGTCTGTGTGTATGACTGACAGTTTGTGTTACCTACCAGAATGGTCCTCTGCAGGTTGGAGTTGACGCTGCTGAACATGAGTTTGCCCACGATGGTGGCGATGGTAGGGAAGACCAGGGCACCACACAGGATCCTGGTGGCTGACACGTGGTCTGCCAGGGGGCTGGCCTCTGCCGGGATACGAGGCACTGGACACCCAATCCCTGAGAGAGACAAAGAAGAGGGGGCAGGGTCAGGATGGGTGAGGTGCATTGTGGGTGTTGTTTTGCCAGTACATCTTTACACAGCTGGCTATGTTACACAAGACATACAAATACACAATCATCAAGTGATGAGAGAAAAAAGGTGTGCCAGCCACTGAGTAATATATGCACCAGTCTGTACCAGTATCTTTATTTCGGGCAGCCGAGTGGGGGTAAAGGAGCACACCTGCTCTTGCCCAGCAAGCTGAGACTGCAGGGAGAAAAGGTTGAAGGTTCCGGCTGAGCCCTGGGGTCCGGTTTCTCCCCACATCAATCACTATCCTTGATGATGAGCTCAGTGGAAAAACCCACCGCTACTGGACCTCCACAAGCCCCAACGGACACGGCCACCTCTCAGCGTTCTTATATCCCCACACACACAACATTTCAACAACCTTTAACACAGGTAGCATCATCCATCAAGTATATAATAACATCTTTATCACCCACACTTCATTATACAGACACACACACAATGAATAAACTGAATTCCACCCATTGTAGTATAACACCGTTGTTGCAGAACGGTTTGCATCCCTACCAATGTGTCCGTTCTGACCTGGAAAGATGCTGTTGAGGATCTGCAGCTTGTTGGAGTACTTCCTCCAGAGGCGCAGCACATAGTCTTCCCAGCGGATCATCTTCCCCAGGATCAGCATGAGGGGGATGGTGGGCAGGCCGATGAGCAGGAACAAGGGGTCTGCCCGCTCCATCACGTCCAGGCCCTCCTTATGGCCCACCACCTGGGCAGAGACGGACACCATGGTCAAGATGGATAGCTTGATGATAAAGTGCGTCTGAAATGGTACCCTATTACCTATGTAGTGCACTGCCATTTCAAACACAGCCATAGTCTATCGATCAACACAGCCATACCAAGACGACAACAAAAGCCATCAGAAGACAATAACGTTAACAATAAATATGGTGTATTTAACCCTCAGTGTGTTTGTGTCAGGGTTTCCGTTAGCCGATAATTGGTTGGCTTTTGGCTGATAAATACAATTGTTGCCGGCCAAATAGATGGAAATATCAGTCGATGGAAATACATTTGACATTCATGCTTATCGGTCTATAGCTGGGTTCCCCAACACTGGTGGCCCGTGAGCCGAATTTGGCCCGTGGGTGGCTTTATTTGCCCCCACTCCCCCAAGTTTTCTGAGCAAATTTGTATTATAATTAATTGTTGGATATAAAATACTGTAAAAACACCAGGAAATCAGCTCCAAGTGATTAAAATGTCTGAAATCTGTTCCCAAGTATTCCCACGCATAATAGAAAGACGTAATCATATACAAATGTAAGCAAGGTCATCATGCATCTTATTTATCACACACGCACAGCATACAGAGCCTATTTTGAGCGTAATATCACTTGTCAGACAGCACTAGAGCTTTTGCTGCAGCTCCTCAGCTTGTTGCTGCTGGAGTGAAACGTGCTTTTATAAGTCCAGTCATTGCGCAATAATTTTAAATGCAATCGTGTGTTTAAAACAGTTTTTTTATTTCTCAACTGGTAATTGAAGCGTGCCTCTCATTCGCCATTGAAGTGCATAGGAAACGTATACAGGCTATCAGCGTGTCACCCACCACTTTGCAATGTGAGCTGAAGGCAGTATGCATTTTGAAAACATATACTTAAAGAGCGACTGCCCCTAAAAAGCAACTTATAATTTACAAATTGCCCTATGTGGCATTGATGAGAGTCAGAAACATTTATTCTAGTTTCAAAATGTTCAAAAAAGTGTAAATAGTTTGGTCATAAAGTCAGTCTCGTCCAAAACTGACATTTATTTGCGAGATAGGAAAAAATGGTATGTCACGGAATGAAGGGTACCGTAACAGTTTTCCATGGGTTGGGTTTATTTTAATGCTGCCCACAGCTGGTAGCACCCAAGTAATCATCAATTCAGAGCGCAGCTGCATAATGCCCATGGTCATTTTGGTTTGACATTCAATATGGGGCTAGTTAGGGACCATCAATAAATTACACAATGTACATGGGACAATATTTAAAAGCTCAATTGCTCCAAATTTCAATAACTTAAAAACCTCAAACCAACTATAAATTGTAGAAATGCATATACAAATATTGAAAGCATTTAATGAGACAACTAAAATATGTGCAACATGAAAATATTGTCCCACCATTTACATTGTGTAATTTACCGGGAATAATTCATATTTATCCCGAGAGTCCCGGGAAATACCGCAAAAATCGGAAGTGCCCATTTGTTTTGATTTGCATTGTTTATTTGGATCCCCATTCGCTTTTGCAGAAGCATCAGCTACTCTCTTCCTGGGGTCCACAAAAAAAAAAAAAACGAAACAAAAAGGCAAGTAACAAAACACTGACACACTGTCACACAAATTTAAAATACAAAGATACACAAATAATACAACAAAGAAACTATGCAAACAATACAACAAAAATAGTGTGTTAGAGAGTCTGTGTGTGCGTGTGTCCCCTCACAGTTACCGCCGTTCCATGAGATATTGTTTAATGTTTTTTAAGGTCATTTTGCTGTTTACTTGAGTAATTGGAGATGGAAGGGAGTTCCATGTGATCATGCCGCTGCATAAAACTGTGCGTGTCCGTGAATTTGTTTTGGACTTGGTGACTGTGAAGAGACCCCTGGTGGCATAGCATGTCTTGTGTGGTATGTATGGGTGTCTGAGCTGAATGTTATTTGATTATGCAGACAATCTGGAATTTTAATCACAGTAATATTTCTCATAAAAAGAGAAGCAGTTAATCTCTCGTCAACCCACAACCAGAAAAGACTGGTGTGCATGTTGTTGATGTTAGTTCTGTATGTGCAGTTAAGGGCATGCTGCTCTGTTCTGAACCAGCTACAGCTTCGCTAGGTCTTTCTTTGCTGCACTTGACCATATTACCGGAAAGTAATCAAGATGTGACAAGATCTACAATGTTTGTTTGGTTACGGTAATTTCTGATAATGCATTCAATATATTGTTATTACAGTCGTTTACCATTCTCATTGTCGGAGTGGACCCGTTTGCAGAGCTCACAACATATGCTACACTTGTGAGAAACAAGTTTTGGTTTATTTAATTCCATTTATGAATTTTGGCAATTTATTCATTGTCTTTCGTTTGGAGCACTCCTGTCAATGTTGAGTAAGGACGCGTACCTGTTTACTCATATAGAAGTAAGCCTAGGCTACCTGGCCTGCGCGCAAATGTAGGCCTATAAATGTGCACATTTTGAGATGTCTGATAGTATTTCTGATTGTCTTAACTCACCACCACTAATCAGCAAGTAAACAAAGCCTGTGTTAGAATGACAATAGTTCCTCAATGTACAGTGGGGAAAAAAAGTATTTAGTCAGCCACCAATTGTGCAAGTTCTCCCACTTAAAAAGATGAGAGAGGCCTGTAATTTTCATCATAGGTACACGTCAACTATGACAGACAAATTGAAGAAAAAAAATCCAGAAAATCACATTGTGACATACAAGACCACTGATAATCTCCCTCGATCTGGGGCTCCACGCAAGATCTCACCCCGTGGGGTCAAAATGATCACAAGAACGGTGAGCAAAAATACCAGAACCACACGAGGGGACCTAGTGAATGACCTGCAGAGAGCTGGGACCAAATTAACAAAGTCTACCATCAGTAACACACTACGCCGCCAGGGACTCAAATCCTGCAGTGCGAGACGTGTCCCCCTGCTTAAGCCAGTACATGTCCAGGCTCGTCTCAAGTTTGCTAGAGTGCATTTGGATGATCCAGAAGAGGATTGGGAGAATGCCATATGGTCAGATGAAACCAAAATAGAACTTTTTGGTAAAAATTCAACTCGTCGTGTTTGGAGGACAAAGAATGCTGAGTTGCATCCAAAGAACACCATACCTACTGTGAAGCATGGGGGTGGAAACATCATGCTTTGGGGCTGTTTTTCTGCAAAGGGACCAGGACGACTGATCCGTGTAAAGGAAATAATGAATGGGGCCATGTATCGTGAGATTTTGAGTGAAAACCTCCTTCCATCAGCAAGGACATTGAAGATGAAACGTGGCTGGGTCTTTCAGCATGACAATGATCCCAAACACACCGCCCGGGCAACGAAGGAGTGGCTTCGTAAGAAGCATTTCAAGGTCCTGGAGTGGCCTAGCCAGTCTCCAGATCTCAACCCCATAGAAAATCTTTGGAGGGAGTTGAAAGTCCGTGTTGCCCAGCGACAGCCCAAAAAACATCACTGCTCTAGAGGAGATCTGCATGGAGGAATGGGCCAAAATACCAGCAACAGTGTGAAAACCTTGTGAAGACTTACAGAAAACGTTTGACCTGTGTCATTGCCAACAAAGAGTATATAACAAAGTATTGAGAAACTTTTGTTATTGACCAAATACTTATTTTCCACCATCATTTGCAAATAAATTCATTAAAAATCCTATAATGTGATTTTCTGGATTTTTTTCTTCTCATTTTGTCTGTCATAGTTGACGTGTACCTATGATGAAAATTACAGGCCTCTCTCATCTTTTTAAGTGGGAGAACTTGCACAATTGGTGGCTGACTAAATACTTTTTTCCCCCACTGTATTTGAAAGATATTTCCAATCTCTACCTTTCGATAACCACTCGGCATGGAAGGGAAAAATGTAATGCTCTAATCCAATGGAAACGTCATAAAATACCTGATTATTTCTTGTCCCTTGAACAAATAGCCTACAGCTGTGTCTGTCCCGTCCCAAGCTCACTGGCGCATGAAACTCTAAGTCGCCATCGTCTCAATAGTTTCCCATAAAGGTTGTCTATACATGGTGGCTTATCATTATTCATGAATAACAATATTTTTTCCACCTCTCCCACACTAACTTGACCAAATTCAAAACAGCAATCCTTCTCTTTAATTATTAGATATTTTATACACAAATATGATGGTTCACTGTTCAATGTTGTCATTTCACTTCTGAGCTTTTCCACTTTACTAGTGAAATAGTCATTGAAATGATTGGCAATATTGAAAGGTTTTGTTATAAATGACCCATGTACTTAAATTAACGATGGAGATGAATTGGGTTTGCTGCCCATGATAGAATTTAAGGGAGTAGCTTAAATAATAGAATTTAAGGGGTGCTTAAAACCAAGATATGGTCATATGCCAGGGTTCTCCCCCCAAAAAAGGTTATTGGAGCTGATTTCCTGGTGTTTTTACAGTCATTTATGTCCAACAATGAAAATATTCCTAAAGGGAGTGCTCCTAATCTCAGTTTGTTACCTGTATAAAAGACACCTGTCCACAGAAGCAATCAATCAATCAGATTCCAAACTCTCCACCATGGCCAAGACCAAAGAGCTCTCCAAGGATGTCAGGGACAGGATTGTAGACCTACACCAGGCTGGAATGGGCTACAAGACCATCGCCAAGCAGCTTGGTGAGAAGGTGACAACAGTTGGTGGATTTATTCGCAAATGGAAGAAACACAAAATAACTGTCAATCTCCCTCGGCCTGGGGCTCCATGCAAGATCTCACCTCGTGGAGTTGCAATGATCATGAGAACGGTGAGGAATCAGCCCAGAACTACATGGGAGGATCTTGTCAATGATCTCAAGGCAGCTGGGACCATAGTCACCAAGAAAACAATTGGTAACACACTACGCCGTGAAGGATTGAAATCCTGCAGCGCCCGCAAGGTCCCCCTGCTCAAGAAAGCACATATACAGGCCCGTCTGAAGTTTGCCAATGAACATCTGAATGATTCAGAGGAGAACTGGGTGAAAGTGTTGTGGTCAGATGAGACCAAAATTGAGCTCTTTGGCATCAACTCAACTCGCCGTGTTTGGAGGAGGAGGAATGCTGCCTATGACCCCAAGAACACCATCCCCACCGTCAAACATGGAGGTGGAAACATTATGGTTTGGGTGTGTTTTTCTGCTAAGGGGACAGGACAACTTCACCGCTTCAAAGGGACGATGGACAGGGCCATGTACCGTCAAATCTTGGGTGAGAACCTCCTTCCCTCAGCCAGGGCATTGAAAGTGGGTCGTGGATGGGTATTCCAGCATGACAATGACCCAAAACACACGGCCAAGGCAACAAAGGAGTGGCTCAAGAAGAAGCACATTAAGGGCCTGGAGTGGCCTAGCCAGTCTCCAGACCTTAATCCCATAGAAAATCTGTGGAGGGAGCTGAAGGTTTGAGTTGCCAAACGTCAGCCTCGAAACCTTAATGACTTGGAGAAGATCTGCAAAGAGGAGTGGGACAAAATCCCTCCTGAGATGTGTGCAAACCTGGTGGCCAACTACAAGAAATGTCTGACCTCTGTGATTGCCAACAAGGGTTTTGCCACCAAGTACCAAGTAATGTTTTGCAGAGGGGTCAAATACTTATTTCCCTCATTAAAATGCAAATCAATTTATAACATTTTTGACATGCATTTTTCTGGATTTGTTTGTTGTTATTCTGTCTCTCACTGTTCAAATAAACCTACCATTAAAATTATAGACTGATCATGTCTTTGTCAGTGGGCAAACGTACAAAATCAGCAGGGGATCAAATACTTTTTTCCCCTCACTGTATGTAGTGAATTGTGCATAGGCCTCTCACATTTCTGACTGTCTGAAGAGTCACATTGACAGCTCAAAGAAGCATGCACTATTTTATAGGCTATACTGTAGGGGTTTATTGTAGGGTTTACTAACTGCATTCGGGTCTCGTGTGCAGTCCGGCAGTGTCAATTATGCGTGTGCTTTGAATTTATGGCGACTTTCAATGCGACAACCTGTTTGCATAATGTGCTATAATTTTTTTGGGTAATCTGCTGCTGCACATGTAATGTATTTTGTGGAATTGCATTAGTGCGACTTTGGGGGAAAATGTTGTAATTTCCTGGGTCTTGTCATTTTATTTTTGGGGGAAATGTGACAGGATCCCGGATTACCCATGTTAATCCCTAGTCCCTAACTATCCCCAGAGATAGGCTATCCAAAGTCAAACAAAAACTTTGCCACAGTAGCACACCAGCCGGCTGAAGCTAATCTGCATAAAAATTTGGCTAACTCTTCCCACCTGCGAATACACACAAGAGACATCCACATCAAACCACACCAAGAAACAAACTCACATTTGAATTGTACTCCTGAGTGGCGCAGTGGTCTAAGGCACCGCATCGCAGTGCTAACTGTGCCACTAGAGATCCTGGTTCGAATCCAGGCTCTGTCGCAGCCGGCCGCGACCGGGAGACTCATGGGCGGCGCACAATTGGCCCAGCGTCGTCCAGGGTAGGGGAGGGAATGGCCGGCAGGGATGTAGCTCAGTTGATAGAGCATGGTGTTTGCAACGCCAGGGTTGTGGGTTTGATTCCCACGGGGGGCCAGTATAAAAAAAATATGTATTCACTAACTGTAAGTCGCTCTGGATAAGAGCGTCTGCTAAAATGACTAAAATGTAAAAAAATGTTATGAATTCAGTCATGGCTGGTAGCATTTCTTATTGAACCAAATCTAAAACGAGGCCAAATCAGGAAGTGCAGTCACCCTTTATTTGTTTGAAACCTGAACATTTTACTTCATATTATGAGCCATGTCTTACCTTGCTTCAAAGTAGCCTAGGTAAAATCTGATCATAGAGACGTGGAGGCCATTTTTTTATAAAGACTTCCTCCTATGCCATTGAAACCAGTATTTCTCTCCTGTTCTATTGGTTTTCATTTCAACTTTCTTTTGTTGTCCAAAAGCCAAAGGCACAATCCTAGTTATATTAGCAACCCATTCTAGTAGTTGCATCTTTAGATTCCCCCTCTTTCTAAGTTTCTAATATGGAACTGCTCACATCAGATGCGCTGTTTAGAATTGCATTTAGGCAAATGTTAGAAAATTAAGTTTTATTGGCTGCTTCATTACAGGAGTTGCATAATCTTTAAATGTAATTTCTGTCATTCTGAGTACCATGGGTGGATGCCCTAATGGGTTACACATCCAATGTATATGGGTCCGGTAAACTTCTCAAATGGCCGGTAAATTAAAATCTTCCCGGTCATGTTGTCAGGCGCCACATTTTCCTAACAGAAACCTTAGTGTGTGTGTGTGTGTGTGTGTGTGTGTGTGTGTGTGTGTGTGTGTGGTGGTCTCACCTGCATGACGGTGACAGCCCCATAAGTGACGGCGGTCCAGTAGATGGAGCCCACCATGATGCCGGCGGCGGCGAAGGGGCAGGCCTTGGAGATGAGCCGGTCAACCAGGTCTAGCACATACACCACTGGCCCTGGAGGGATACAGGGACATAGAGTTGAAAATAGATTTTTACACACAAGTGGTGTGTGCAAAAAAGGCTGTACAGTGTTTGTTAGAAATTGTAAATCAGGGTCGTACAGGGTGTTTTCCCCTCTATGGCCTGGGTCATATTCATTAGGGCAGGGGTCTCCAAGCTACCAGTAGCTCTCAGCCCACTTATGAGTAGCTCGCCAATCAATTTGGAAAGTACATGCATTTTTTTTACGTGTTCCTTTGCAAACTGTCATTAACAAAGCTCCCGGCTACAATCCAATCAAAGCCACATTGACATTATCTCACCCCTGGTTAGCCACTATTGGCTTAAAAAGCCAAACATAACACAATATCTGCCAATAAAATGTCCATCAATATTGCTCCCGTCTGTCTGGTGCACATGTTTGTCTATCACTCTGTATGTAGCCAGTTAGCGAAGCTAATGATAACTGTCTTATGGGCAGACAAATTTTCCCCCAAAACCTTCTCAATTAGTTGTTAAGTGCAAAGAAGGCTTACCTGACAGAACAATATCTACTATTACTACATTATGTTATCAATTGGTTGGCGATTGTTTTGCAAACTCTGCCATGACGTGGTGCTGCAGAAGAAACAGCAGAAACATCGCTAGACCGACACATTCCTCTCTTGCTAGTTGTGTAATTAAAAGGGGAATTACACTTTTTGGTTTAGTTTTTTACCTCAAAAGTGGTCTTCTGATGTGACTTAAGCATTGGCATGGACTCAGAACATACATTTTCGTTGTTTCTCTCGGAATAATTGTAATATTGAGAGTAAAAACTGGGGAAAACATCCCAAACCAGGAAAAATTAAATGGAGAAAACAGAATTCAGCAAAACACTTAATATCATTTGTCCCCTGTAGCTCAGTTGGTAGAGCATGGCGTTTGCAACGGCAGGGTTGTGGGTTCGTTTCCCATGGGGGGCCAGTATGAAAATGTATGCACCCACTAACTGTAAGTCGCTCTGGATAAGAGCGTCTGCTAAATGACTAAAATGTAAATGTATAATTTTATGGGACCCCCTTAGAGTTTTTTATTAACCATTATTTTACCAGGTATATTGACAGAAAACACATCTCTTGTATACCAAGGACCTGGGAAAGAGTTTCAGGGTAAAGGGAAGAATGTGCCTATTTGAATGCTATAAAAACGGAGTAGCTCGCAACTTTTCATTTTTCTCATGCTAGAAAAGGTTGGACAACCCTGCATTAGGGGCACACCGTAGAAAATAGTTTTGCTACAGAAAACCCTGTTTTAATGTCGGTTTTCAATCGCAGGCCTTTTTCGTGTGAACTCATTTCATTTTAGCATTTTTTCATTTATTTAAATACAGGGCCAAGCAGAGCCTGTTTCTAGAATGCTACAAATAGCTCATGCAGAGGCGGAGTAGAGCACCAGGAAAAAGCCAGAGTCCTAAACAGACAACACCTCTGCAGTTTGGGAATGTCTCGCTCTCCAGCAGGGGTCATAAGATGGCTGCTGTCCTGGTGGTAGAATGCTTAGTGTACAGTGTACACCATCCACCCTTCTCTATCTGACCCTACCCAGTATCATTTAACTATAATGAAAGTAGCCCTACTTGAAGTACAATGAGGGAAAACATACGTCACACACATACACAGCAGACATATGCAGGCACGCACGCATATTAGCCTACATACACACTCGTGAGATATTCAAAGGGAAAGGTAACTTCAGCAGTAAAGAAAAGCACACAGAATAAACAAAGAAAAACAAACACGCACACACCCTCCTGAGACATTCTTAAAGTACAATGAGCAAGGTGACAGAAGTTCAGCCATGAGGAAATGATGTTGTGCTCAGAGCAAAAGCATGCGAGGTATTGGGTTTGACTGGGAAACATTTGTGCTGGAATGTGTAGCGACAGAGGCTCAGGCAGAGAGGAGAGGAATGGATTATCAAAATGTCCTGGAGGACCAAAACTCGTTTTTAGATGAAAGCTACCAATTTTACCATGGCTGTGGAACATCTTCACAATGCTAGAGGGAGATCAAAAATAATCTCTGTACCCTAATAACAGACCTGTGTCAAAGACCAGATCAGGCAGCCACCCTCTGTTATATATAGGCTAGTACCTCATATTATTATTATATTTATTTATCTTGTTTTTATCCAAATGAAAGATAAAATAAACAAACAATACTTAGTAACAACAAAAATAAGTAAACTGTCTAATAATAATAGTAACAACAACGAAATTATAATAATACAACTAAAACTTAGATTAACAGCATAAGAAAAGTTGTACAACTACTAAATAGGCCTACAACTAATAAAAACTACTGCTACAACTACTAATAAAACTAAGTACCTATACACATTAAGAAATATCTTCACATATGTCCCCTTATCAGACACACAGTCAAGTTATAGCTATGACCTCCATCTTCCCTTCTTTTTTTTTTTTTTTTTTTTTTTTTACATTTTTTACATTATTTAGCAGACACTCTTATCCAGAGCGACTTACAGTTAGTGCATACATTATTCTTTTCATACCCCATGGGAATCGAACCCACAACCCTGGCGTTGCAAACGCCATGCTCTACCAACTGAGCTACCTCCCTGCCGGCAATTCCCTTCCCTACCCTGGACGACGCTGGGCCAATTGTGCGCCGCCCCATTGGTCTCCCGGTTGCGGCCGGCTACAGCAGAGCCTGGATTCGAACCAGGATCTCTAGTGGCACAGCTAGCACTGCAATGCAGTGCCTTAGACCACTGCGCCACTCGGGATACTTTTTCTTCCTCATCCTCCTCTCTCGCATTACAGAGCACTCAGGGGAAATCATGCGATATTTACGGGGACGGGAGGCAACCTCTTTTCCCCACACAGGCCCATCCAGATACTATTAATACCTGCAGCAGGAGATCAGTGGAGAACACTAAAGGGAGAGAGGGGTCATCATTTCTCTGATGTGATGTAAAGGATTGTCCTTTATCAGGGGCTAAGCTGAGCTCTCTGTTAAAAAAAAAAACTAGGCTATACATCGAAGGGTCCCTTGGACAACGTTAATGCTGCGTCATATTTTGAGCAGGGCTGGGTTCATTTCTAATGCAACTTAATTCAGGCCTTGAATCCAAAATGCAGCCCATTTCATGAATCGAAAACCTCAAGTAGAAGTTTAAAATGATTATTTTCATCTGAATTGGTCGGCCGAGGCAACAGCATCAGGTTGACATTGAATGTGGAATGTTTTAGTGATCCTCAACTAGGCCAATGAGCTGATTACCTGGCACTAGTCATCATGGCACTACTGTGCACTGTTGCCCCCCCATTAACAATGTTCCAGTGCTGTTGCCCTAGGTCTGGGATTTCAGACAGAGACCAACTCAGTAAACTGACACTGTCCACTCCTCTTGTTACTACCAAGGGAGTCAAGAGACTTTCTGCTATGACAGAATGTTTCCTTGAGAGGATGGTCAGAGGACCGGAACATACTTACAAATAATTTGTAGACTGCAAATTGACCGCAAGAAGCCCAAACAGATATAACATTTGACTAAAACATAATAATTTCAAACCTTTCTTACATTTGAATACGATCACATATTTTACATTTTAGTCATTTAGCAGACGCTCTTATCCAGAGCGACTTACAGTTAGTGAGTGCATACATTTTTCATACTGGCCCCTCGTGGGAATCGAACCCACAACCCTGGCGTTGCAAGCGCCATGCTCTACCAACTGAGCTACAGGAGGGCCTACATATATCGCTCTATTATAATAATATAATTAATATGCCATTTAGCAGACGCTTTTATCCAAAGCGACTTACAGTCATGCGTGCATACATTTTTTTTTTTGTGTATGGGTGATCCCGGGGATCGAACCCACTACCTTGGCGTTACAAGCGCCGTGCTCTACCAGCTGAGCTACAGAGGACCACGTAATAGAATAGAATAGAGCTGATTTGCTGGTGTTTTTACAGTATTTTATGTCCAACAAATATATATATTTGTAAATAAATACTTGCTACAGTAATATGACTAGGATTGTGCCTTTGGCTTCTGGACAACGAAATACATTTGATATTAAAGCCAATAGAACAGGAGAGAAATGCTGGTTTCAATGGCATATGAGGAAGTAATTATTTAAAAAATGGCCTCCACGTTTCTATGGTCGTATTTTGCCTAGGCTACATTGAAGCAAGGTCAGACATGCCTCATAATATGAAGTAAAACGTTCAGGTTTCAAACAAATAAGTCTATTTTCAAAATGCAGCTCACATTGTAAAGTGGTGAGTGACACGCTGATAGCCTGCCTACCGTTGCCTATGCGAATGGGAGGTGCGCTTCTATTACCAGTTGAGAAATTAAAATGGTACCTATTTTTAATCATGGCCATCAAAACTGTTTTTAAAGGTCAACTGCCCCTTAGAACCAACTTCTCTGGTTTTAAACGTTCTATGTGGCATCGAAATGAGTCAGAAACATAAGTGTCAAAATTGACTACAAAGTGTAAATAGGATAATTTTGGTCATGAAAGTCAGTCTCGTCCAAAACGGAGTTTTGTAAGTCAGTTCGTCACGACTTACTTGAGGGTTGGATTACTTACACGCCCTCTTCTGCCAATGATGCCCAATTGCCCAGAGACAACACGTTGTGGTCTGCCCCCAGCTGCCATGGGCAGCAAATAGCAAAATGTATCAGCAAGCATTCAGCAACGTACACATCTGTTTGCATAGTAGCGGCATCAGCGTCACCGTCCTGAATCCAATCTATAGTTACAGTCCCTCTATTAACATATAAATTACTTCCAAACTAGAGAAAGTAATTTTTCCTCGCTATATGTTTTTTGTGATGATATTTTATTTCATTCACAGGCTATGTACAACACTTGGTGGACTTGTTGTTCAGCAGCGTCGTGGGAACCCCGTTACTAATTTATATCAGGAGCTGTTACAGAAGGCTGAGGCAGTGGCCAGACACCAGTCAAGCTTCAGAGTAATGGAGGACAC